TATTTTTTTTTAAATAATCACATTTCAAGGTAAAATAAATTATTATAAGACTTTTAAATTTCCAACCCCCTTTTTTTAAGTCAATATAATCCAATATAACAGAGAGGACAAGGAATGTAACAGTAATTTGTAAGCTGTCTTACAAATATGACAAAAAGTTAAAGGGAAATATCACTGTTAAAAGTGACTCTTCGTGCATTTAAAGTTGGAGTTAGCAGCAGCGCTATAATAGAAACCCGTGCTACATCTTTGTAGTTATATTTGAAAGTTTTTATTTTATCATACCCTGCTTAAGAAAAACAAGTGCATTGTTTGTTTCTTTCTCAATTTCTTTTATTTGGGCAATAAAATTAACTACCAATTTTTTTCCTAGAACTTTTTACACTTGCAACGCTGTCTATTGCAACATCAAAAGAATCCCAGTGTTTTAAATGGTTACTGGTGTACATTATATATGTCGGGTCACAGAGTCCTCTAAAATCCCAAAACAAATCAATACCTCTGTGGGTACTGATCGAGGAGTTCACTTGTCTTCTGGATTGGATTTAAAATTACAAGGCTACGGAGTCAAACATTGGTAGCCGTAAACTCAAATTTGGGTCGGCTGTTCATCGACGGTTATAAAATAAAAAATCAACTAAGCGATTGTCTTATGTCGCTATATTTAGTAATTCGATGTAATTATTAGGCAAGCAACTGTGATTTTAAAAGTAAATGTACATCTTCGTGAATAGCGCATACAAATTTTATTTGATGTTTTACCTACGCATAAAATATGGATTGGCATAAAATCAGATATGCCAATTTTTATGTCTGGATGCATCTGCTTTGGTACTTGATATGCTCCCATCAAGGTGCACATTTGGCTTAGTACATTTTCTGTCCATTTTCTTTGACAATCATGCAAACAGCTCTACCAGATGTCTGGTTAATAAGTTTATCAGATGAGTTGAAAATTATTACAAGCTTTTTTTTCTGTTTCATCAGAAACTTTGCTATTAGGCTATTTCTCTTGTTTTGGGAATAAGGTTACACAGTATCCGTAGAGCAGTACAACGTTTTTTTTTGGAGATACAGGTAATGCACGGTTGGCTTTTTTAATAGCTTTCCCCAATGCTTAAGTAATATTATAAAAGGAATATCCTTCCTGAATTTCTACTGTCTGTATCAGTGTCTTTTTATTTTTCCTTTGTCTTCTTTTTTTCAATTCGTCTCTGTTAAGTTTTTTTTTTTCAAAATACTTCTGTTATCATAAATTTTCGTTTTATAATTTTTATCTTTCTTAGTACAAATATCTTTCTTTTTTGAAACATTATCTGTCTATATTCTCTCATTCTTTTTGCTGCTGTTTTCCCCCATATTGACTACTCATTTTTTTTATTTCCAATGAGCTGCACAATCAGTCTTCCCGATGAGCAGACCTAGTGCACTCTCCAGAAGTGGTATCCACTCTTTCAGGACCACCACAATGGGTGAGATACCGTTGGCCATGTTAGTTCTGATTTGGACGTCTAGTCACTAGATGGCAGCACCGAGACTCGATTTGGATGCTAAAGTGTACTAGGGATTTAATTTTGCCGGAAATGCTAGGAGCCAATAAGGCACTCCAGGGATCTTTTACAAGCCGCATAATTGACTACTCACTTAAAAAAAAACTTTTAACTTTAAACTAAACACACTATCAAATAAAAATGACGCAGCTTTGTATAAAATGTATGCTCTAATAGTGGAGGAACTGGTTTAAACTAGTTGAGTCAGGGTGCATTAGCACTTGTTTACATTCCTAGACTTCCTTTTTAATGGTCAACCTATCAATTTTATGTAACTGAGGGGACATTTAGTTTTGTTCTCCCTATTATAACCGCTCTGTTTTACGAGGGACTTTGAAATTTTTAACTTTTTTTTCAAGAATATAACGTAACATGATTGTACTGATAGACTTCATTGTAAAAACCAAAAATTAAGTTAAAAGTTTTTCTGTGTAGTGAATAAAATAAATTTTAAGGAATAATTGTAACAAAGAGAACAAATATATATTTGAGATAGTTTTAGACTTAAAAAAAAAAAAAATAATAATTGCTGAAAATCACTGCATAATTAGACTCAGGAACAATTTATTTTGCAATATAAATCAAACTATATGTAAAATAGTAATATTTTTAATAACTTATTCTTCTACAAAATCGACAGTTCTTTTGGTAAAATAAGTCAAAATCATGAATGCTCTCTATTTATGATAAATTTTACAATAATCATGAATAACTCCAAAAAAAACCCTTCTGAATTCATAAATTAAACAGATTTCCTTTAAAATGATATCAAATACAAGGATATTGCTTAAACTGTAAAAATTTACTACTGGTTTTAGTTGGCATGGAATTCAACATTACAAGACAATTACGAGCCGCCCTATTCAAAATTCTTGGAAAATATATTTTTTATTCATCGATCAAAAATCTATTCCAGATTTGTGCTTTAGTGCATAATTAAGGAATCTAAATGCTTTAGTGTAGAATTAAGGAGTCACTTAGTGTGTACTTCTAGATATGTTTTAGTGAATACTTTAACAGAACTTAAATTTTACCTTTTGTCTTTATTTTTTGCTTAAAAAACTCAAGTTATATGTTTTAACTTTATGAACAGAAAGTATGATGGTATAATGGAATTTTCACTACTTTTCCTGGCGCTCTAAACAAATTAAAATAATAAGTTTAATTTCTAATAATTTTGATAACTTAATTGTTTCTAACTATTTTTAGAAATTAAATGTTACTTCCACGCAGATTTCAATTCTGAGGTTAATTAAATCATTGTCACGTATCAATTGAGCACAAAAGAAGCATTATCCTTCTTGTTTTTTACGGTGAAATAAAATAACGATTTCTCTTTATAATTTCTAAGAAATGTATTTGCTAAACATATTAAATCTTTAAAATAATTCGTTATCAAAAAATCACTTAATATATCTTATTTCAGCATTAAAGAACTCTTTTTTTACATTATAATTCTAAAAATAACATGGTTTTGGAATCTTTTTACAATTTTATATTTTTAGTATTTTACTGTTTACCAAAATAAGGCATATCGAGCATTTTTCTTACATAAGAATATTTTTTAAATTGTGCTAAAATTGGGAAATATTATTAACAACCTAACATATTAAGACGATACGTAAGATATTCAAAAATTTTAAGATACTTAAAAATGATGTCAACAAATTCGTATTGATAATTAAAAAATATATATTGAAGAAATTGATAAGAATATTATTCCAAAGCTACCCATACGTTTGTTTACTATTGAAATTGTATCAAATATAGAAAGAACAAATCAAAGAATAAAATTAAAAAAAGCTGATGTATAATTACATTCTGTCAGCAACATGCTTTTATAGCACTCTAAATTTGTTGAATAAAATATTTTATTAAAATCTCTAAACTAAATTCCGAATAAAGTTTCAGACTACTACAAAATAAACATCGTATTTAATACTTAAGCAAATGGATAAGCAATCGGTTATTAGCGGAAAAAATAGGAATGAAATTTCACTCTCCGCGCGCATAACTCAACTTTCTAGTAAGTTAACCCCATTTAAATATTAATCGATCCATTTAAACATGTCTTCATAGTCGCCAATTTATTGTTTTAATTTTAATTCATTTTTCTCGGACTCTACCGAATAAAGTAAGAACTCTTAATATGGTATTATATATAGATAATTAAGGTATATATTATTTAGTATAAAAACACTTACACCTCATATTTCAAAATGTTTTCATTCACAATTAAATTAAGTAACAAAAAATTAAAAAAATAATTATTAAAAATCTTCTTCATCTTCTGTATGAAATTATCGTTGGGTAAACGGTTTTTCAGATTGGATGTAATTTTTTTTGAATTGCTTAATTAGTTTTGAAAATTTAGCTTAAAACACAAAAAGTGAAATTAGCATTAAGGTGTCCAAACTTTGGATCCCTCTCCTGACCAAACTATGGGGACCAGATAGCGACTACCCGATATATTTTGAAGGTTACGAATCAATATATATATATATANTAAGTATATATATATATATATATATATATATCGTCTATTTAGAGTAAGTACGTTTTTGTGTCCGATGTCATAACTTAATTAATAGTTAGCACTACACAGTTAGCATATTTTAGGTCACTCCCAGGAACCTTAAGATTGACACTTAGTACGTGAAAATGCGATCATAAGAATAAAAACAAAAGTTATTCAGGGTGATATTTTTTTTTTGCTCACTGTACTGACCGTCCTGTATATCAGAGAGCTGACCTCGTGTCAAAAAGGTCCCGGATTTGAATCCCAATCATATGAGTGTATGTTCTTTCCGTCTTCTCTCTGTACTATATGTCCCTCATGCTGTCAGGCATAACTTTAGACCTCCAAATATGGTGCCCCCTATAAGAGTGGTCAGCACATCTGTCCTTTTGATACCCGAATGGCGAATAAGACAATGGTTTGATACCCGAATGACAATGTATGTATGGGCATTGGGAAAAAAAGAATGCAGCATATCTAATTTGCAAAGGTAAACTTCAGTCATCTTTGTTTAATTTTAAAGTATAGTCATTTTATTTGTAGAAAGTTAATTGTTTATCCAACGAATTCAAAATTGTAAAATAAAAACATTTTTCATAAATTTCTTGGTATTGAATCCATCTTATGACGAACTACTCATGCTTAAAATCTCTTCTGGGTCCTTTATTCAGAAAAAACCCTTATTCAGAAAAACTTCAAACCATATTTTGCTTATGATTTTCGAAATGACTTAGGACTTTTATACAGAAATCTGAGCAGCTCCGACTATTCTAAAAATAGTTTTACTCACTTAAGAGTAATGAATACTTGAATAAAAAACTTTTAGACAACAGGATTTCTTTTATAAATTACTTAAAAAAATGAGTAGTGAAATCGAATGTAATATATAGTGAGAGTTCAAATTGTTAACTAAAATGGATAACAGCAACAAATTGTTTTTAAGAACACATATTTTATTTATTAATGTAGTTGAATTTTTACATAGCATCCAATTTTTTTAGAATGCTTCTTGCCGTCATCGAATATCTTGAGTACGTTCTCAAGTCTGAAAAAAAAATTCTTCAGACAAAACAACATTAGGAAACATAACTACAAATATTTAATCACAAAATTCTTGGGTCTGTAAGAATTCATAATTATGAATGAAAAAGTAAGTTATTTGTTCTCTTCAAGTTTTAATCTACAATCATTTATATCATTTCACTAAAATCAAAAAATCACTCAATCATATTCACTAAAATCAAATAAAAATTGCAATAAAGTAATCAAGGTTTTAGAAAAAATCCGTTTTCAAGCAATAAAAACATATACTTTTATGCGATATTAAATACTAAAAAAAATATATGTTAATTGTTGTTTAAAATTAAATATTTGATTTTAAAGATTCATTATCAGTTTTATGTTTGAAATTATCAGTTGAATAAATTTATTCTTCAATTTTTTTATTATTTGCAAACTTTTGTCCATAACTCTTCTTCAATGAAAATTAAATTATTTATTTTTAGAAATTTATATTCTTTTCAGTATGATTTTGAAAATTTATTTGCGATAAAACCAATTTTTAAATGGAAATATTACGGTTTTTTTTTAAGTGGGAAAACAACAATATTGTGGCACAACATATATGATTTTTTTTTTCGCTTTTGCCACACGGAATTTAAGGAATGATTCAAAATATTAAAAAAGGAAAGAGGGAAGTTGTACATTTTCCTTCATTGGATACGTATTTTATTGTTAATATTAGTGCCCCGTTAATTACTTAATAAATTAGTGCCCATTTCATAATAAGTGTAAAGTGTTTTGTTCACTGCAGCAGTTATTTTCAATTATTTTCATTTATGATTCAAAATTTCAATTTCAGTATGTAATAAGTAGTCCGTGAATTCCAATTTTGGTGCTGGAGTTTTCTCGAATAAAATTTGCTCAAACTTTTCTATTTTTATTATCAAATATATTATATTCGTCTATAATAATAAATGATGTAGATTAATAGGAAAATTATTTATTTAACATTTAAAATTACAGTATTTTTCGCTTGAAAATGTTACTCTTTTTTTATCAATAATATTCCACTCCACGCATTTCTTTCCCACATTCGTGATAAAAATCATTTCGTTATTTCTCGGTTTCGTCAGACACAAGGGAAAGGGAGATTAAAGATCTCGATTATGTTTTGAGTGATACATTTTCTTTACACGCGAAAGTTTTTACAAAATACCCCGTGTCCTAAAAAAAATACAAGAAACAAAGCCAAAATAAATAAAGTAAAACAAAAATTGGCAGGCAAACCAAAAAGTACTAAAATTTATAATATTTAAATAAAATACTTAAAATGAAAATTACCATATATCGTGCTTATAAGTCCGCAAGTATATCAACAGCTAGAATTTTAAAGAACGCATAAATGTAATTAGTCTTAGAAAAAATATTCATGCAAGTAACAATAAATTTTCATTAAAAATTTATAACTTAAAAAAAAGAAAGAATAGATTTGAAATACAATCTAAAAATAAATATTAGTTTATCTTGAAAATTTCATGAAGATTCTTCGGAGATCTCAACTTTAATGAACAATCTACGTTCCAATATTTCAAGTAATGTTTGTTGGATAGTTGCTTAAGTTTGAATATTTGCTTTAAAAGTATTTACATTTTACTTCTTAAATGATTTACATGATTTTTAAAGCATATTATCTTTCATAAGATCATTTTTTTTAATATAAATTTCATTGTCATGAAATAAAAAAGTCAGGAATTTTACTAATTTTGCTCCTATTTTATGCAACGTGAATACTTACTATTTTTAATACTCCTAATATTCAATTTATTTATAAAACTTTTGAATCATTTTTATTTTATTGTTATTGAATCTATTTTTATAATGTAACTCAAAATGTTTGCACATGAAAACAAATTTTGCTCTTCATGACCATTTTTCATTTTTCAATGATTCATATGATTTTGGAGTAAAATAAATATTAAAAACATTAATTCATTTGATAAAAATCTAATTTTTTAATCACTGAGTCACAGTAAATAACATAACATATTTACTTGGAAAAATTTTATTCTACAAATTATATTTCACATAATCTGGAGCACTTCTTAAAATTTAATAAAGTTTGACACTTTTTATGAAGAAGTCACAATTTTGCTATTTAACTATTTTTAACTAGCATGGATATAATAATAACCTCGCTAGAATCAGCTACATTAAATTCTTATCCATTAGTACAACAAAGGAACTTTCTTTATTTTTTTCGCCTTTCTTGGAATCATACTAACCCTCCTCCAGCTTCTTCCCTCCTTCCCATGTGATAGTTACATACAGAATACTTTATTTAAACATATAAAAGCGTTACATTATAAATTGTTCTGTCTTACTTTTTACTCACCTTGTTTATATCTCACTGTACTACAAGATTATCATTTAAAAGAATATTGCTATAATAAGAATATCGTTTAGTTCAGCAAAAAATTTTATTTTTCTTTAATAACAGTTTTAAAATAAAAGTTTTTCTGATTTATGGAACTCATCAATCATAGCTTTACTCTAGTTACGTTTTTAAGAGTGAAACTTGCTTCAGTGTGTTTTACAATAACTGTACGTGCGCATGAACATTTGCCCAATACAGAACTTTTCTTAATTCAAAAATGAAACGAAACTATCGGAACAAAATAGATAATTTTTTTAAAAACGGTGAAAAGTAAATAATGTAATTAAGTTTTCGAATGCAAATTCCTAACAACATTTTTTCCTTATTGTAAACGTAAAAAATATTCCAATTTACTTCCAGTTGTTGAAAACTTTGAAAACTGTTTAATGAGTTTTTTTAGTACGGATTCAATTCATTGTTATAAAGGTTTGTTCAACATTACCCTTTAAACTTACCTTGGCTTACAACAGCTAGAATTAAAAATTATCTGAATTAAATTTCTGTATTTACGAATTAATCGAAAAGTATTCTTTTTTTTTTATTACAAAAATTTAAATAATTATACTTATGTGACTATCATGTCTTATGTCCGCAAATCATAAAATTAACAATCTTAAGAAGACAAACTTGTTTCTTATATAGTCATTTATTTTGGGATTAAAAAAGTTGAAAAAGTAAAATTTTAAGTTTATTATTCTAGCTTTTAACTGCCTAAGCATGGAAAATACTTTAAAATTAAAAATACTTACCAGCAACTCCTCCGACGGCTGCAAAATATGAACAAAATTAGTTAATTAAATGGCAAAATAAAAGAAATTGTTTTTCAGTTTTCAATTAATTAAAATCAGTTTTTGTGCAACTTTTCCAAAATTGACATTTTCCAGGTATGCTAATGTATTCAATCAAAATCAAATCTAAAATCGAAATATATGTGGAAACGTATTCCACAGAGTTTATGAAGCAGATTTTGCTTATTTTTATTTATATCTAGTTTTAATATATTTGACCAGTTCTACAAAATCAAATGAAAGGTTTTGGTGTTAAATTTTCTGAAAATTTTTACATTCGAAGAAAAACAATAGAATTACGTTTTAAAAAAATAAAAATGTCTAACTTGTTTCGGAACTAAATAAGTTCAGAATCTGAAATTAGAAATCAAAAATTACAACATGTGTTGAATAATTTGGTTTTTCATTTCATTATTTGTACCTCGAAATCGTCACCCTATTTTATATGAGGATTTCTATGTCTTTCTATTATATAAGAGTTTGGATTAGGATAAAAGTTTAAGTGGAAGTGTAGAGCAGATGTCAAAAATTTTGAAAATGTCTTTGTTTGCTTAAAATTTAAATATTGTAATAAAAACGTAAATAAAATTGACAGAAAGGTAAAGTGTCAAACTTTGGAAGCGCTATTCTATTTGGACATCTTATAATTTTTAATTTAAAATTATACATAAAACAATAATCGTTGAAAGAGATTCTTGTTCAAGGTGTTTTAGAAATCTCTATCATTGAACAGCGTTTTCATAACGACTTTTCTTTTGAGTAGTAGTCATTTCTCTAGTTTTTAAGAAAGCAAATAATTAAAAGAGAATGCTAATGATGTCAATATTTGCAATTCGATTTAGCAATTGCTTACCTCCTCCAACAAGAGCTGTAATAAAAAATTTAAAATATTTAAAAAATATTTGATCAGTCAGATGTAACATAATTTAATTTTCATCTAAAACATGGCATTTGTCTATTTTTTGTAATATTTTTATTCTAATATTAGTCTTAAGGTCTTAATTGTGTGAAAAAATTTCAAAATTCATAAAGTATGACACACTAAAATATTACGCGATTAACATTACAATTTCATTTTAATGTTAATCATAAGTTTAATTATAATACTATAGCATTAAGTGCGATACAAAAATAAATATATGGTAAAAATTTGACAGTATTACTCTTCTTTTGGGCAGAGTTAAGGTTAACTGATAATTATACGGATTTGAAAATTTAAGTCCTCAGATAATTATATATTAATTTACTTATTTTAATTACTTCTGATCAAATCAAATGCTCTGACCTAAATTCCAAACTCATCCCTTCACTGTTTAAGATTAAAAAAAAGTGTATCTTGGTATTGTATTTTAACACCATATCAAACTATAGTAAAAGCTACGGGCACTCAGGGTGTCCGTAGCTTTTACTATAGTTTGATATTATGGTTTTGAAAAGTCTCAAGATACCAAAAAAATTGATAAGCTATAATTTTTATAATAATAGTTAAGTTAAAATCAATCAATCAATGCGATTAGTTGAATAGTACTGTAAAAACCATGGTACAAACTTTAATGATTAAAATGGAGTTCCCATTGAAAACAAAATATGCTTAAATCTTACAGTTACTTACAGGTAAAATTTACAGTTATTCTAACTCTTTGGAAATACCATAATTCTCAATAATTTTACAGACGTGCTTCAGTAGTGATTTTAGCAGAATTAATATGTAAATATGGCTTCATAATAAGTGATAAAATTTGGTAAATGTGGTAAAGCAAGATAATTTTATCATGTTACCTTAGAATATGTCATAAAAACCATTTATTCGGTTAGATTTACCTTTCAGGTTTGTATTTTTTATTAAAAGTGTGTTTATAAGCATTATAAGTATAGAAACTTGAATTTCCAGTAAATTGTCACTAAGTGAACGGAAAAAGTACCAAAATGGATTATTCATCTTATATTTCGGCTTTATTACTCCAGACTAACTTTTTCTAGCGTTACCATACAGTACGGATTTTTTACCAGATTTTTTCTCAGTGTACGGATGCTGCATTTAAGGTGTTTTTTACTTTTCACTGTAATTTGACATCAAAATCTTTATATTTAGTCAAAGAGAATTCGCATTTATAATATTCTTAAATTGTATGGATATAAAATATTAAGATTTCATATTTTTTTGTCTCAAATAATAAGGCTATCCCAAACAAAACATTAACAAAAAAGGTTGTTGAAATAGGGTTGGTTGAACTAGATTTTTAACAAGATCTTTAATTATTTTCTTTATGAAGTTGTTCTTTTCTCATTGTTTTTATTATTTAGATTTTAAAAATGTATTTATTTAATTTCATTTAGATTTTTAAATAGAAAATTTTAGTTTTTTTTCACACTTACCGCCGACTGTATCTGCAACTGAAAGTGAGAAAAGAAATTATATTTTAATTTACACTAACATAATAGGATGAAAGAAATTTTATTTTTTAATATTTCCTGCCAACACATTATTGTTAATCTTCGAAAAAAACTTTTATTTTTATTTCAAAGATCACCCGGATAGCAGTTCCATCCGGAAATGCAGATTTGGTAACTACTCTGTCAGAGGGACCACATGGTGGGCCCATGATGCTTCCACATAAAGAAGGACAAATAGTTATGCGAAGAGGAGGAAAGAACATCAATGCCTTATCAGGGATTGGAGTGCTAGATCTCGAGTTCGGCTCCCTGACCACCATACATCGACCGGCATCGTCGAAACACTTGCATGCGCAGGTATGCATACGTATACTTTTTTCTTGATAGATGAAAAGAAAATTTTCTTGTTTATGTTCTACAAAAAGTTTCTTGATGCTTCATGCTTTTTTTAAAAAGTGTATCTACTTAAATGTAAAAAAATAGAATTTTCAAGAAACAAAATTGTTTAAAGCATTCGGATTTAAATAGATAAAGTATATAAGAGAGTATTTTGCAATTATTTAAGAAATCGCTGGGAGTTCAATTTATTTATTTATTTATTCGAGTTCAAACGTAACATGAAAAATGTTAAAAAATATACAGTAGTCTAGAAATATATCCTGCAAATAGAAGTGAGTTAATAATTAAATATATATCGAAAGTAAAATATTTTTGGTACCAAAATTCTGTTTTAAATTTACTCCAAGTATAGGAATAAAAAAAATTTCAAACAACAAACTTATAACTTTACTTACCACTTTTTACTGCCGCTGCAAAAATCATATTTTATGCAATTTCATAACATTTAGATTACAGTTTTTGCAGCTGAAATGCCAAAAATTGTTCTATACAAGTTATACAATGCATGGATTCAGAAAAAAAAATTTCTGAATGTAATTCTACATTTCTAAAATGAGGCAAAATTTTCAAAAAAGTAGTTACTTTCCTTTCATATATCATGATATCCACTGTTATAATATGTCATTATATATTCAATAATATCATTGCACTTATTATTCATATAATTTTTACATATTTTGCATGTTTTATTTAAACGTGTTATCTTAGGAATTTATATTTAGCTGTATTCAAATATATATTATTGAGTCAAATTTATCAAAAAAGTTAGTTTTACAAATGTAATTATAAGATATTACGGCGACATAAATTAAAACCAACAAATTTGAAATACCTTTCACGTACCTTGTCTAGAGAAACTCTGAAAGGTAAATACTTATACCTCTACTTGGAATTTAACGAGATGTCGCTCTTAAAGAAGACATGTCGACATAAAACTTCGAGTTAACTAAAAATTTCTTTAGCACTATAATTTGGATCAACACTACCAAAGTAAGGTTAACTTTACCGTGCTTCGGGCTCTAGGGGAACGCTCATCAGATTGGTAATTTTTTTGAAAAATTGCAAAGTTAATTAATTTGTTAAAACTAACAACAAATATGATTTTATGCGAAAATATTTGGAAAATGTGGTGAAATTCGGTTATGTTATTATGACATCTTAGAGCATGGCAAAAAAACTATTTATTCGGTTAAAGTTGATTTTGAGATTTTTTCAACTAAGTATGGGTTTTAAATAACTATAATTACGCGAATTTTTTTAAATGCTTGAAAAACGTTAATTTTGTTGTTTCTAATTTCGGGTAAAATGTTACTATGCAAATGGAAATACTACCAAACAGATAAATACCGTATAATTTGGTTTAAGTAATCATAGTTAAGGTCTTTTTTTAAGAAAATATCTTTAACCAACGGTATGGTAAATTTACCAGAATTTTTTTGACTATGCGACTTATGTTTACTTTATTATTTAGAGTAAAGTTTCATACTAAGCTTTTTTTAATGAGTTGCTATATTCTCTTCTATAATTTGTGGCATTTATAATATATACCTGATAAAACTAACGATAATTTAAAGATTATGCAAATGTTTAAGATTTTGCTAAGTGTTGAAATTTTAATAGTCACTATTTTGCCGCAGCAGCCATTATGATATTCTGGCAATTTTTCTGTTGTTAAAACAAATAGTTAAACATTAAATTTCAGTACTTAAATATGAAGTGGACACTTTTTTATTTTTCTTCCAACAAAAATAGTTTTTGATACTTAAAAAGAGTCTATTTTTAATTATATTTTCTAATTGCATGTAAAACGAAATCAAAATCTAGAAAATATTAGAATTAAATAAGAAAAACTCTGAAAATAATAGAATATACGTACTGCCAGCTACATCGACAACTGTAAAAAAAACATAAAAGAGAATTATTAGTTTAAAATTACGATTCACTTCACAAATGCCCCATTAAGCAGTTAAATTAAAAAGTCTCTAACACATAAAATCACATACCTCCTCCAATGAGATCTAAAAAAGTAAAAATGTAGTATGTAAGTGTAGTTATATATATATACATATATATAAAAATCAGTATAACAATTTCAAGAACTATAATAAAAAAATTATTTTACACTAAAAATCAGAGATATACTCACCACCTGATATAAAAATATTGCAAAAATGGGATTATAAGTTCAAAATAACAAGTAAATTTATGTTTTGTATAAGTATAATACATTAATTAAAAAATTCTACATTCATATATANATGTTTGTCGACAAATGGTTACATTTGCTGCACCAATGCTAGTCTTCTCGATTTAGTTTTTGCCTTTTATAACATACTTTAATTTTTTAAAAAGTCTGTTTTGAGAACGAAAAGTATAATATAGTCGAACTCGTTTATAACGAGCTCGGATTTACCGAGGGAAACGAGAATGGTTAGAATGTATCAATGTTAAGTCCATGGAACATAAGTCACTTTTAACGAGCAACTCTCGGTTTTAGCGAGCATTATTTTTCAGTCTTGCAATCTTTTTTCCCATCTTTCCCATTTTTCCCATCTTTCTGTCTTATCTTTTTTTTTCAAAATGATAAGAAATGCGTTAGAAATAAAAAAAAACAACGTAAACTGAAACTTAATTGCCCTTATTGCTCTAATCTAAAGCATGGGAAAAGTTACGTGAGAGTAGGCGGTGACGTATCGGAAAATGTCACATTAATATGCATTATCAAGTGTTTCCATAAGGCTGGATTGGAGAGTTGTCAAGACGTTCCCTCCACTGAGGAAGAAGAGGTTGACAATTTCATACAAACTGAAGATTTGGAAATGACCAAAGAAGAATTTCAAAGCTATGTGTCCATCGACGACGAACTGGTGACCTCAGATGTACCGACCACCGAAGAGAAGAAAAGTATTTAATTAAATTAATCAATGCAATTAAAGTAATTAAGTGTTAAATACATTTTAAGTAAACTCAATCATTTACCTCCCCCCACCCCTCTTCTGATAACACGCCTGCCTTAAGGACCCGCTTATTACGAGCACTCGGATTTCAGGAATACATGTTACGGCCCCTTTGAGCTGTTTATAAACGAGTGCGAATGTATATATATATAGAGAGAGAGAAAGAAAGAGAATAGATAGATAGATTTAGTAATATAATAATGTAAAATATAATTACCAGTTTGGACTGGAAAAAAACCGCAATGTATTTTATTATGTAATATGATTTAATTTGCAATTTAAGACATGAAGTGATATGTTTTAAAGCGTATTAGATTAAAAATAAGATTAAATATGAATGACAAATTTTACATTAAATATTCTGAATTATTTACCTGCTGAAGCAACCTCTGAAAGAAATATGTATAAAGATTTTCAATTTAAATTTATTGAATCAATACTGCTTTCTTGATCAAATATTTCATCTATGCATAAAAAAGTCTGAGGAAAAAGTTAATTTCTCCATTAAAAATTGAAGATATTGTTCAGAATTTTCAAATAAAAGTATATACCATTAGATGATTAACCGTTAGGTGATTAAATATGTTTAAACCATTAATATGATTAATTTAATACATCACATAATTTTATAAATAATGTCATATCCAAATTTTTACAATAAGTTTAAACGGAAGGATAAATTATGTATAAAAATCTGGTATTTAACCAAGTTTTAGTTCACGAGACTGATATATAACTTCAACCATAGTGATTAATGTAAAATGTAATTTAGAAACTTACCATCAGCAATTTTTCCAACTGGGAAGAAAGGTAAAAAGAAAAGATAAATTATTTTAAAAAAATCTTATATCATTATCAGCAACTAAAATAAGTTAACAGCATTTTCGATTTAATGAGTGCGTTTTCAACTAAGTGCTCCTGACCCTCCTGACACAATATCAAGTATCATTATCTATAATTATTAAAAATCAAAGAAGAAATCTTAGTATAAAAAGAAAAATAAATATATTGATTTAAAAAATTAAAACCGAACACTATTTGCAAATTATATTAGGTTACTTTCTTTTATTTAGTTTAGGCACTAAGATTTTAGACTTTTAATTATCCCTCCTGTAATATTTTTCAATTATCGGAATTTGAAAAACTCTTTAAATTCTTTTAGACATAACTTCATTTACTACAAGTAAAGTAGTTAAGAAAACTAAATTCAAAATTTATAGCTTGCAATATTTTGAATTCAGGTATCATAGATAATATATTTCTCTAAAAGTGCTTATTTCAATTAAGCTGTTTTTTTTTAAAATACTCTGCATTGAAAAGAAATATTGCAAGAAAAGTGGGGTTTTGAGGTGTAGATAAAATCTGTCACCATTAAATTTTTTCTTAACAATTGCAGTTTAACAATAGCAGGTTTTTTTATGTAGTTAGTTGCAATGGTAGGTTATTGTTTACCTATAATTGACAATTCTAGGTAATCTATAATTGCGCTTCCCAATCCCTTATCAGAGTGGTTTCATTGTCAAAATACTTTACAAAATGTCACATAAGATTACAAAGACAGTTGTTTTTAGTATTTAAATAAAATAATTTGGCAAGTTTTTGCAATATTAAAAATTTAGAATTTCTACAGAGATATTTTTTATTATCGTAGATAAATTATAAGAAAAATAGAAAGCATGAAAAAAGTTCATTCATTGTTAGCTTCGAAACGGAAACCTCGTATGTTTCAGATATTTTTGATGCTACTGAAACTTTCATTTCTTAATTATTGTATAGTTTAACGTGTCTTAAGAAATATTCGGTAATATTAAAGAGTAATTCTAGCATGTTTAAAATAAACTATCTCTCAAGTATTTTTAAAATATTGATTTATTTAAGATGGCAAAATCTACAGAGAAAAGTTGAGATTAATATCGAAATTTGATGCAAGCGATTTTTTGAATTCACTAAAATAAACATATAAAAATATTTAATCAAGATTCAATTTTAAGAAAAATAATGAAAGCATTTTAATATGTTTTCATTAAATTATAATGCAGTTTAATTTACTAAAAACGATTGAATTTTTTATCAAAAAAGGGCACTGTCTGGTGAATATTTTTCATAAACGGGGTACACACGCTAAATTTTCCATCGTACTTTTGCAATTATTGTTATTTCGGTTAGTTATTCCTCCTCTTAGATGCAAAAATTGTAGCTTTTTCTTTCACTCTCTAAGGAAACTTAATGCATTATTACTTGAAAAGAGAGAATTGAAAAACATTTTTTTAAAGCTATAACAAAAATAAATAAATAAGTAAATATAATGTATAAATAATTACTTCCACAAGCAAGATCTGAAAACAATCATCTTCAATTTTACATTTGTTAAATGTGTATGTTCAAGCAATAACAGAGTATTGGAAATTATTATATTATTAAAATAATTACACGCATGTGTATTCAATCTAACATTTTTAAATAATCAAATAATAACTAATGCACTTCTACTTAACACGACCATAGAATAGAAATTCTATAATGTGTGCTTTTGCAACCAGTTACTGCATTTCCTTAAATTTTTATTTAAGGTAAATATGATATTATGTATCGCAGAATTAAAATATGTAAAGATTTAAAAATCCTAAGCCTCTTTAATAATTTCTAAGCCTCAGTTAGCAGGATCACAGCAGTTTCCTTCAATAAATTTGAAACAAGAAACGAAAAAGTAAAGTTCTACCTTCATTTCATGAGATTTGTTTAGGAGGAAATGATTTTAATAAAAATAGGTAAATTTGCCTTGTTTATGACGAAATAGTTTTCGAATAATCATGCAATGCAAATATATTGGCGTATACTAAGTGTAAATTCTAAATAACGAGTAAATGCTTTGATTTCCTGTAATAAATAATGAAATATTTATTCAATATTTGTGTTTAATCAAAACATATAATATTTCCAAATTTATAAATCTCTTTAGTATAACTTAACATTTATTAAAGATAAAAATATTCTTAGTGTATTATAATTACATATTAATCATTTTTAATTCCAAAATTAGTATTAGTTTTCTTTTTTTTTCTTAAGTGTATTTTTATGTACCTTACAGCTATTGCAATAAGTATTGCAAACTATTGTACATTTGGCGAATGTCCGGATTACGTTATAATTCTTAATGATTCTCCATAGGTAATAATGGCTCACCACAATTAAGATTGAAGAGCAGGAAACACAGCAATCGCACCCTGTTTCCAGCATCCAAACTGCTCTTAGAGATTTCTGGTTATTTTATCGGAGAAGACGGTGGGAGATCAAAAGACAAATAATCGAGATTGGAGAAGTAGTCCGATTAGCATACACTTTCTTTGCCTTACACCTTGACTGGGTGATAATTAAATTTAAAATTGTACTTTTATGGGTTGCAATGGTCTTTTTCTACTTTATGTCTTGACCGACAGTATTGGTCAATAAAATATAATTAAAACTCTTAACGTGACCTCTCCAATAGAGTAGGTAGAAAGAAAGCAGTCCAATCAAACTGTCTTTTCTCTGCCTTCCAAACTGCTTGAGCAGTTGATAAATTTTACAACATCCATTCGTAACAAATGTTTAAATTCTAAAAAGAATATATCAAAATGTTCTTACCATCTATTCCGTTTCCAACTAGAAAAAGTAAAATTTAACAATAAATATTGATTAGTGGTGGATTGTAAATGGCGTGTTTATACTTTCATTTAGTTCATCATTGTTTTTACAAGAAAATTCATGAAAGTACTGGAACTACATTATTAATCAAAGAAAGATTTTAAGTAAATTTCGGGTGCATTGTTATCTCCTTTAAATGAGTTTTGAAAAACAGTTGCCGAGTAGTGGCAAAATTATATCGATTTAAAGAATGTTTTTTAAGCTATATGAATTACAAAGTATTACATGAGGATAATTGAGATTAATTTAGACTCTCGTAATTTTCCTTTTCTGCTTAACTGTAATGACCAGTTCAAAAGCATACAAAGAAAAAGTTCATATTAAGGAAGTGTCCCTTGTGGGTATCTGACGACCTTCCTGAACATTTTAAATCTGATAGTCAGGGCTCAAAAAAACTCAGAAATTTTTCCCGTCCCCGAGGACGGCTTGTCCAACAATGTATCCGTCCTCCTTTGAAACTAATCCGTAGCTTCTATATAAATAAGAATATAATTTTCTCTTATTTATTGCAATCATTTATATAAATTGCTCAATGAATTAGTAGTTACTAGGATTACATTATACAGTAATAAAAGAAATTCTATGTTACTAACAGTAACCTAGTATTTCTTTTATAAAATAATTTAAATGACAAGGGTCAATTTATCCAAGGGTAATGCGTTTTTTTAAATTAATCAGATATGACGTTTGCCAGTTCTACATTCAAGCCAATGATTTACAGAGGTTTCTGCACAAAAATCTGAAAGGAGTTTTCCATTTAGGTAGATGTTCATAATTGCGTTTAACGCTTCTTGTTTAATACCACTACGTAATGTGTTTTTTTGTAAGTTCATTGCTGAAAAGACCCTTTCAACTGCTGCAGTACTCCCAGACAGAGAAAACATCAATTCCACCATGCACAGTATGTTGCTGTATTTCTAGATTAGAGGGTCATTTTAGAAAAGAGGCAGTGGACTCTTGTAAGATAACAAAAATTGAAAATGTATCACGAACATTAACGTCCGCGCGGTCGTCGGATTCGAGAAATACGTTGTCCGCGGGGAATTTTTGACTGCCGAGGACGGGCAGACGGGCGGTTTTTCGAGACCTGCTGATAGTAAACCCTTACTACTTTAGTTTGCAGTAACATTTACGCTACCCTCTGTTCTATGTAACAATTTTGAAATTTTAAATTTCAACAAAAAATAGACTGAAAAAGTAATTTTAAAAGAATAATAAAACCCATAACTTGACGAGGATAAATGATCGCAGATTTAAAATCAGCGGCACAAAAGTATCAAAAATCAGCTGTAATATATAACGCAAACTAAAAAAAAATTACCCAGTGCAATTAATAAAATCTTAATTAAATTATAAACTATTTTCCCATTGTTTTCTTTTCTTTTTTTAACAAGAGCGAATAACTTTTTCTTCTACCTCATTGTATTGCCATAGTCTAAAATTAAATATTTAGTTAAGGAGTTAATACTTACGCCCATGATCCACATCTGATATTTGCAAGAAAATATACAAGATAGTTAATAATGCACCATACACTGCAGAAATTCTTTTTTAAAAATTGAAAACAACATTTATAACTCCAATTTGTAGTGAAGTGCGTTTTAATGCTTAATTTATCTTAGAAAAATTAATTCGAGCTCCTTTGCAGAACTTGAAATTTAAAAAAAAATGATAATTAGTGTTTCTTATCATAAAAATGTTAATGATTTACAAATTTTTAACAAATTTTGGAAAAGATTAAAGCTTAAATTTAAAAATTATTTAAATATATTCGTTGACCAAAATATTAGTAAAATATAGTTTTTGGCGTTTAAAGAAATAGCAATCTTTAACAGAAACGGCATTTAACAATTTTCTACCTGATTTAATGATTAATAATAATGAAGGTTCAATTATTTTTATGAAATAAAAATTACTTGTCTAGTCTATTAAAAATTTTATTGGTCAGTGGTATTTTCAATTAAATAATTATATTTTAATTTATTCAATAAATTTAAATATATTCAATACACAAATAATATATTATGAATAAAATGACATTAATTCCTCAATGGAATTTTAACTCTTCTTTCATATTTTGAAACATTGGCTTATGCAAATGAAAGTTAAATTTTGTAATGGAAACATTAAAGACTGAAATATTACTTACTGTCAACTAAGCCTTGAGCTGAAATAAAATTGAAATATGCATATGTAAAATGAAAGGAAACAAAAAATATGCTTGCAAATGAAAAATGTATTTCATTTTACCAAAAGTACGTTTGTATAAAAAAAGGAAACAAGAAAGTTAAGTACATTTTCAAATAAAGTTTTGCTAAGAAACACGTCCTCAGATAATTTTTCTTTTGTTTAGATTTTTCAAGTACACTTTAAATTACGATATCGATCAAATTTTGAAATAAAGAAACGGCACTTTAGACTCATTATTCGTAAAGTCTATTTTTACCGTTGTATATTATACAGTAATTTTTACTGTAATAAGTATTTAAATAAAGTAATTTCATGATTTTAGGTAATGACTGATGTAAATATTTCTGTTTATCAGGTTTTTTGTTCCGAAATATGTTCTGGTTAAAATTAATTTAACGATTAAAAGCATCGACGCCCTAAGTTTCGGTAATTTTACCTGAATTTGATCTGGAATATTTTACAGTAAAATGCAAGTAAAAGAAATATTTATAATCAAAATATATTATTCGGGTCCTATTTTCCTTTTGGATGATAATTTCTATTGGTATTAAAGTTATATCTACTCTTAAAATTTTCTTAAATTTTTGATATATCAAAATTCCTGACTTTATCAAAGTTAAAGTTAATCATACACTATGTTAATATTATTTTTGGACTAAGAAAATGTTATGAAATTCAAATCTTTGCGTAGCAAAATGCGTTACAAATGTCAATTTAATTTTTTTAAATGCAAAATATATTTTCAAATACCATTTTATACTGAAACAGAATAATACATGATTTCTGTTTTAACAGAAAAAATATTTTAAACGTCACTTAGTTCAGGCTATTTCTCTTTTTAGAAATAATTTGCTGAGCAGTGAGAGTATGTAAGGTGAAACTTGAGTGCTGCTTTTGTGAAAAGATATATAACATAGCATACATTTATATCTATTTTTAAAAGCCTTACCAGCATGACCAACATCTGAAATATGTTATTATAATCAGTAATTAATCTCATGTATATAAGTATATCATGTATATTTAAGTTAAATTATCAATTTAATTTACAAGATATACCACCATTTTGCCCTTAAGATATGTTTTGTTAAAATTTTTGTTGAATTTTATTCAAAATAGTTTGTGTTAAGAGTCACGATCTTTTTATAAGGCTCAAGAAAATTTAATAAACAAAAGATTTACTATCAAGATTACAATTTAGATTAATAAAGTAAATTTAAAAGAGGTGATTGAACATTATCAAAAATGAACGAATTCTGGTACATCATTTAAAGGAGCTTATCTAACATAGTTGCAGTGGTCGAAGTATTATTTTTTCTTACATTTCAAAATTTGAGGCATAAGCGGAGCCTGTATTTATATTCACATTGAAAATTTGGAATTTCGAAAATAAAATATCTAATTTCCAACAAAAGTCTAAAATCTCGAAAATTTATCATTAAATATAATTAAAAAGTCAAGTTCAGATTTAATTTTTTTTTGAAACTTTCCATCTCCGTACTTTCTATAATTTATAGTTTCACTTTCTTCTTGCTTTCTTAACTACAAACTTAACTTTAAAGCAATTTGACATCAAACTATAATTATTTGAAAAAAGAACAAATATTTCTTATTTAAATATTATACTTACGATCAACAGCATCTCCTGTTAATTAAAATAATCACATACAAAAATTAATTTAAAATTTTTGACATCTATTATTCAATATTTAACTAAATAATTTAAAATCCAATTTTTAGTTAATAAAAAAGGGTGCACTGTCAAGGCTCACATTTTTTCTTATTGTATTTAAAAAACGAATTCTGACACTAATTTAATTGTTTTACAACATTATAGGTTGAAAAAAGCAGATATGTATCATTGACATTTTTAAAAAAATGGTGTTTTCTTTCCCGCTTTTTCTTTTCTTTTTTTTTAAACTTCTTTATAATACTTATAACATTTGCTAAAAAAATAGCTACCCAAAATAATTTATTGAAACAAACAATGAGACTTTTTCTGCAACTTTTAATAAAGTTATATAAAATGAAATTTATATTATCATAAACATAAATTTCTTTTGTTTTACTAAGACATAATTTATATTGTTTTGGGCACTTCATCTTGCTTTCCAAAAATAGAGAGTAACTCTATAGATGTTCTTCAGAGAGTAATAATTGAGTTTTTTAATAATTGATGCTTATTCGTTAGCGACTGACAAAAGCACGGTTTTAATGAAATATTAAATGGTATTGAAATAAACATTAAGTTAGCTGGCTGTTTCGTTTTAATTTAAGACAACCTCCGATCCCGGAAAAAAGTTAGTTTAATACAATAAAATTTGCAACACCGAAACTTAGGGGAGCTAGTTAAATTACTCAAATAGATAGGGAATATATTTCATATCTCGGATTCTATAAAGTGAAGAAATTGCCATTTTAGTTCTTTATTGCTTCGAAAAATATTTAGCTTTAAAAAGACTCCTTACGAATTCCTAAAAAAAACAAATAAATAAGCAATCTGAATTCCGATTAAAAATTTGTAGTATCAAAGGTTTTAGATCTTAAAAAGTCATTTCTGATAGAATATTGTGTAGAAGTAAGGAAAATAACGAATTATTTCACCTTTAGCACAAACTTTGCAAAAAAAAATGAAGTTTAAATGTGCAAAAAACAAAAAAAAAGCCTTGATTCATAGCATAAGTTACATTAAAAAGCAGTGTGACTGTCAAAATTTTGAAATAGCATTCATAATTATCAACTGTGTGATTTTTTATATTTTCTTTTTTACATCTTGAAAAAAAATTAATAAAATAAGACAAGATAAATATAAAAATGAAAAATAAAAATTTTTATTACCTACGACTCCCAAGAGATCTAGAAAAGTACACATATTTATTATAAAATTACTAACTCAATCTTAAAATAAAAGCTGTTATATATTTTTATGAATGAAAGTAATTGCTGTGCTATTTACATTTTTTAAATGATAAATATTATTAAATTTTATTTGTTATATTTCTGGTTTTGCATTTGTATTTATCAGATACTTTTAATACTGATTTTCTTCGTTTAGAATAGGTGAAAAATAATTTTGTTAGTATTTCATATAGTTTTTTTTTCATTTTCAATAATAATATGTAAGAACATATCTAAAAATTAGAGAACCGCTGAAAATATTTCTTTTTCGAATTTATCCATTTAAGGAAATTATTGAAAGATTAACTGCTTAAAGTAGCTCATTTCAGCGTGTATACATTAAGATATGAAATTTCTACAAAATTAAAAGAATTATGAACTGATATTTTCAAGAAGCAAAACGTTAGATCATATATAGTTTAAGTAATATATCTGTGTTTTTTTTGCAGTAAGATTTTACACTGTATTCTTCAATTTAGTTTATTTTGAAGTAAAAGTTTGTATTCTTAGGAAAAAATATAATTTTGTGAAGAAAAAATTGAAAATACTTTTATATTTTCAAGTTTTTGCGCTAATGCCAAATTATGGAGTAGTATTTTTCTATTATGTTTTAAATAATAAAATCATTTTTTGCATAAATTTGCTGCATTGTGTTGTATTATAAATTCACTACTTAGATTTGTATACTGTCAAACCATCTATTAAACTTTAATTTGTGTTTTTTTTAAATTATCTGCAAATAAAATTTTGGGTTCTGTTCTTATCAAGGCAGAAGAATTAAACATTCTCAAACGTGTCTCAACTAAATAACACTTCTCAAAAGCCACGCTTGTGGTTTTTAGCGAAAGTAAAACTTATATGTTTTATGTAAGAAATGAAAAACAACAAAATCTTTGCATGGAGTGAGGAAAATTTTGTACTGGCTATTTTCTTCATTTCTTTAAAAAAAATATTTTGGTAGATAAGCTGCTTATAGATTTGGAAATTATAATAATCGATTCTTCTTGCCAGTAATTACATCTTCTTAAGTGTATGTGCTGGTTCATCACTTTACTACTTAAAAAATTATCAAGTTTATCCACTCTAGTCCCATGTAGTGAGGGTAGTGTGGATAAAAATAACCTTTAAAAAGTATTATGAACAAGCTGACCAGCATTGTAATTCCAAATGCAAACCAGGATGAAGGTAAACGTCAGAATTATTGAAAAAAAAACTTTCATGAGTTTAACATTATATTAAATATGTTTCTTTTGACGAATTTGCAAAAACAGTACCCTCACAAATTAGCCCCTGCGTCCCCGAGATAGATTTAAAAAAAATGAGTTACATAAAATTAAGTAGTGAAAATATTTTTCCCTATTTGTATTTACGAGTGTATTCACGCTTATTTAATCTTTAAACGTTTAAGAAATTTTTGTTCCTTTGATTCATTATATTCGCCTAGTGGGTTAATATGATGATACAAAGATATATATTACAGAAGGAATCATAAAATTTTATAACTCACTCTAGTAAGTACCGTCACAATAGTAACGTAATTTTTTTAGAATAAGTTAGAAAGTTATGTTATATATTTTTGTGCAATTCTATTTAAATTTAATATTTATTTTAATGGTGAGAGACCAATAAGGAGTTTTCACAGAAAATGTAATTAAAAACTCGTGATAATAATGAATGACTTTAACACTAGATTGCCTGAAGAAGTCATTTTGACTGCTTTTAATTTCAATTAGAAAAGCAATGATGTATATAATGAAGCAATTTCTTAGAATTTTGCGACTTGTTGTGCAACATATAATTTTTTTATTGGTAGTATTTACTAGTAATTTATTGTAAAACTGCAAATAATACAAAAAACGTTAAAAATTAATTTTAAACAAAATTATTTACGCATTCACAATGTAGTTATTTTGACTGCTTTTGGGCAATATAGCTATATGCCAATTTTCCGTTTTACTAGTGTTAAATACTAAATTTATCAAATTCAAATAATGTAGTTTAAAGTGAAATTACAAGGAAGCATACATGCACTGTTGGAATTTTCATTGTGAAATTATGGTAAAATAACCAGCAACAGTCGGGCTATCCGATTATCCGTAAAGTTTACCATAAAGAACATTTTATACCTTTACGGTTTTTCAACCCGTTTAATAAATTTAACTGAACAAAAATCGAGGCATTTCGTTAGATAATGGGCATTTCAGAGTGTTGGAAACGATTCGGGAGTACAGAACGCAATAAACACTTCATGTGTTGAAGGGAATGGAAGAAATATTGTGGTGTCAACTCTGGGATTCGAACTCCACTTATGTTGGTCTTGAGACTGACGCATTAGCCCTCTCGACTAAATTATGCGTGCAGTTATTGGAACTACGTGTCTTCCTTAGGCTGACTTAGTTGGTGCGATAAAATCCTAGTTGTTTAACTGTATTAAGTTAAAGCAGTTAATAAACATTTTGTTCTCCCAGTTACAGTTTGATTGCAAGCTTATTTATTTGTGTATTTTTGACTAAATGTTTGAACGTTGTAAAATAACGATTAAATAAATTGTCATTTAACCATTTTTTCTGAGACATTTCAAACAGTGTATATGACGCTAATCGCGTCATATACACTGTTTGAATCACTATAAGATTCACTATAAGACTGTCTGATATCACTATAAGATTCATACTAAATTTAGATAGAAGCACTAACGAACTCAGAGATTAAAGTTAGAAATTAAGTTCAGCCCATTGCGTCGAATTTATTTATAAGAATTTCTTCGGAATATCTAACTAGTTACTTACATTTAAAATGTAATTTAATGAATCTTTTATGCAAATGAAATGCCGACCAGGTGCCCGAGTGGTTAGCGTGCCCGACAACGAAGACGATGGTTGCGGGTTCGAATCCCGCTCAAAGCATGGACAATTCTTTGTCCTTTTCTATGTCCTTTCTCCTTGGTGTGATTGTGACCCGCCCTATAAACTTGTTTGTGGTTGTGTGCGACGTGGGCTACGCTGCTCCACCGTCGTGGCTTCGCCACAGGTGCCCACTGGTTAACAAGAAGAGAGTAGCAGCTCTGGAACTCCTGGCCAATGGGACAATACATCAGAAGTGCCCGCCATTAAAAATATATTAATGAAATATTAAAAATGCTTTAACTACTTTTAATAACTGATGATAATTTTAAAAAAAAATTGTAAACCTATTATCAAGTAAAATATGTTTAGATACAATACACAAAACTGCTTATACATTCGCTTCAGAATTTCATATTTTATTTTAATTAAATTAAATTTTGCAGAAAAATCAAAGCTAATAGTACACAAAATATTTAAATTACACAATTGGGTATGTGAAACTAATCCCGTATGGGTGGGTCTAATCATCACATGTATATGTATGGCATGTAATGTTACAACTTAAAAACAACTTAAAAGCATCTTATAAGCAAACTGAGTAAATTTTCGGTTCAGATTTATTTGTATACCTGAAAGCGATGCCACGTCTATGTGTCGATCCTGATTGGTTAACCAACGCCTGACGGTGCTTACTGGTAACCAATTACAAAATACAGATAATAGTTTACTCTGTTTTAAGATAATTAGATATAGTAGAAGTTTGAATGGTTAAAATTATAAAATTAACTTACTTCCATGTGCCGTGAGATCTGAAGCGAACAAAAAACATTCATATTAACATTCATTCAAAAGAAGAAAAAAATTAACTTCTTAGCTATATAATTAAGTTAATTACTAAATATGCACAAACAGAGTTCTATTGAATTAAGGACTCAAAAAAGTATATAGATAATTCTTTTCAATATGAATTTATTGAAATAGTTTTAAAATTATGTTGAGTCATTCATATATTTATAAATAATTCTGTTTGTACCGAATAAACCCATATAGAGTAGAATACACATATTGAAATTTTGAAATTGTCTTTAAATTGTTCATCAGGTAAAATGTTTTGAAATCTTGAAGTTCTTTTTCACTATATCTTACTTTTTTTGTATTTCTAGTTCTGTTAAAGCCCGTTAAAATGAAATCTGGGCAATAGCGACGGTATTTTTTGTCAAAGAGAATGTCATGAATTTAGAAATATATACACTTTGAATGCATGATAATTTATGGTAAATAGAGTGAAATGAAAGGAAATAAAAAATTTAAACATTTTAATACAGGATCTTAAATTTTATTGTCAGTTTTATGAGATTTTAATCTGCTTTGAAACCTCTTCTTATGGTATTATTTATAGAAATAAACAATATTAAGAATTGATCTTAAATGTATAATTTTGTTCATAATTTATATTAATCGATCCGAATAGGATTAAAAATTTGATAGTGAATATACTTCAAGAAAATCATTTTTCTTAATAATGCTCATTGAAAGTTTGGCAGCTTTTTTTATTTACATTTCAAATTTTATATATAGATATATAAATTGTTTGATATCTTCTATCATCGTTCTTGTATTTTGAAAGTGATATTTGATTTTATTAATTTTGTTTAAGAGCAAATTATTACATGTGATCTGTTAAATTGAGCCATTCTCAACACAACTTTATTTCGAAAAAGGGACAGATTTTTTTTCAAAGTTACTATAACATTAACTTGTTACTATAACAAAAATATGTAGCATAAATAACATCTTCTTACCGCTTACTGCATCAGCAGCTACATAGTACATACAAAAATTTTGTTAGTGAATAAAATGTATAAACAAAGACTTAATGGATAAATATATTTTTAGATTGAAAAGATAATACATACAGACGACACAGATCATATTTTTCCTCATGTTAAATGCGATGAGTGAAAAAATTAAGTAAACTCATTGATACCTAAACTCAATTAGCAACTTTTTTAAAATTTCTTAGCGAAATGAAAAGCATGCAAAATCGTAATAAAAACTAAAAGGAAATATTGCATGCTTTGAAAACAAGAGTGAATCTAGAATTAAATTTGAAATGTATTGTTATTTGCAGCAGGCGATTGTTGTTAATTTAAGGAAAGTCAACTTCTTAAAGTTATAATAATACTTGAGGAAAAGCGTTAATAATGTCTACTAGTAAGGAACATTTGCTCATGAACTCAAAATAGTTAATCTATTCAAGCATAAGCCTAACCTGTCATAAAAACTAAAAATTATGCATTCAAATAAAAAAATAATAATTCATATAAATATTCTAATCCATTTTTCAAATAATAAATATCGGTAAATAAATTTCTTCTATGAGTGATTAAATTAATTTCTTGAAATATTTTGGACAAATATCAATAAACTTCCACTTNATTCTTGAATCTTTCTTTTTTTTCTGGCAAAAAGACATTTCTCAAATATTGAGACGAGAAATAATTACGCCAGCAATTACATCTTAAGTGTATGTTCTGGTTCATCACTTTACTACTTAACAAATTATCAAGTTTATCCACACTAGTCCCATATAGTGTGGGTAGTGTGGATAAAAATAACCTTTAAAAAATATTATGAACAAGCTGAGCAACATTTTAGTTTCAAATACAAACCAGGATGAAGGTAACCGTCCGAATTATTGTTGAAAAAAACATTCATGAGTTTAACATTATATTAAATATGTTTTTTTGATGAATTTGCAAAACAAATACCCTCACAATTAAACCCCTGCGTTCCCTAGATGGATTTAAAAAAATTAGTTACATGAAATTAAGTAGGGAAAATATTATTCCCAATATGTATTTACGAGTGTATTCACGTTTATTTAATCTTTAAATGTATACGAAATTTTTATTCCTTTGATTCATTATATTCGCCTAGTTGGATAATATGACGATACAAAGATATATTACAGAAGAAATCATACAATTTTGTAACTCACAGTCGTAAGTATCGTCACAATAGTAACGTAATTTTTTTAGAATAAGTTAGAAAGTTTGGTTATATATTTTAGTGCAATTCTATTTAAATTAAATATTTTTTTTAATGGTGACAGACCAATAAAGAGTTTTCACACAAAATGTAATTAAACACTCGTGATAATAACTAAATGACTTTAAATACTAAATTTATCAAATTCAAATATTGTAGTTTAAAGTGAAATTATAAGGAAGCATACGTGCACTGTTGGAATTTTCTTTGTGAAATTATGGTAAAATAACCAGCAACAGTCTGGCCATCCGATTACCATAAAGAACATTTTATGCCTTTACTGTTTTTGAACCTGTTTAATAAATTTAACTGAACAAAAATCTAGGCATTTCGTTAGATAATGGGCGTTTCAGAGTGTTGGAAACAATTCGGGGAGTGCAGAACACAAGAAACACTTCATGTGTTGAAGGGAATGGAAGAAATATTGTGGTGTCAACTCTGGGAATCGAACTCCATTTATGCTGGTTTTGAGACAGACGCATTAGCCTTCTCGACTAAATTATGCGTGCAGTTATTAGGAACTACGTGGCTTCCTTAGGCTGACTTAGTTGGTTCGATAAAATCCTAGTTGTTTTACAGTATTCAGTGAAAGCAGTTAATAAACATTTTGTTCTCCCAGTTACAGCTTGATTACCATCTTATTCATTTGTTTATATTTGACTGTTTTGTTTGAGCGTGGTAAAATAACGATTAAATAAATTGTCATTTAACCATTTTTTCGGAGAAATTTCAAACAGTGTATATAACGCTAATCACGCCTGATATCGTAATATAATTCATAATAAATTAATATGGAAGCACTAAAGAAAAAGGTAACTCAGAGATTAAAGTTAGAAATTAAGTTCAGCCCATTGCGTCGAATTTATTTATACGAATTTCTTCGGAATATCTAACTAGTTGCTTACATTTAAAAGGTAATTTAATGCATCTCTTATATTAATGAAATGCCGACCAGGTGGCCGAGTGGTTAGCGTGCCCGACTGCGGAGTCGATGGTTGCGGGTTCGAATCCCGCTCAAAGCGTGGATTTTTCTTTCTCTCTGTGTTCTATGCCCTTTCTCCTTGATGTGATTGAGACCCGCCCTATAAACTTGCTTGTGATTGTGGGCGACGCTTCGCCACAGGTGCCCACTGGGTAACGAGAAGAGAGTAGCAGCTCTGGAACTCCTGTACAATGGGACAATACATCACAAGTGCCCGCTATTAAAAAATATATTAATGAAGTATTAAAAATGTTTTAACTACTTTTAATTACTGATGATAATTTTAAAAAAAATTGTAAACCTAATATCAAGTAAAATATATTTAGATACAATACACACAACTGCTTATACATTCGCTACATAATTTCATATTTTCTTTTAATTAAAATAAATTCTGCAGAAAAATCAAAGCAAATAGTACACAAAATATTTAAATTACACAATTGGGTACGTGAAAATAATCACATATGGATGTGTCTAATCATCACATGTATCTGTATGGCATGTAATGTTACAACTTAAAAGTTTGGTCTTATAACCAAACTGAATAAATTTTCGATTCAGATTTATTTGTACGCCTGAAAGCGATGCCACGTCAATGTGTCGATCCTGATTGGTTAACCAACGCCTGACGTTGCTTACTGGTATCCAATTACAAAATACAAATAATAGTTTACTCTGCGTTTAAGATAATTAGATATAGTAGTAGTTTGAATGGTTAAAATTATAAAATGAACTTACTTCAATGTTCCGTGAGATCTGAAGCCAACAAAAAATATTCAGATTAACATTCATTCAAAAGAAAAAGAAAATTTTAGGTATATAGTTAAATTAAATATTAAATATACACAAACAGCGTTCTATTGAATTGAGGACTCCCAAAAAGTATATAGATAATTCTTTTTAATATGAATTTATTGAAATAGTTCTAAAATTATGTTGAGTCACTCATACATTTATAAATCCTTCTGTTTGCACCGAATAAACCCAGAATACACATATTAAAATTTTGAAATGGTCTTCATCAAATTAAAATTTTGAAATGGTCATTCATGTTCATCATGTCAAATTTTTTGAAATCTTGAAGTTCTTTTTCACTATATCTTATTTTTTTTTATTTCTAGTTCTGTTAAAGCCCTTAAAAATGAAGTCTGGGCAATAGCGGTGTTATTTTTTGTCAAAGAGAATGTCATGAATTTAGAAACATGTAGACTTTGTATGTACTATAAATTATGGTAAATAGAGCGAGATAAAAGGAAATAAAAAATTTAAACATTTTAATTCAAGATCTTAAATTTTATTGTCAGTTTTATGAGATTTTTTGTTTAATCCGATTTGAAACCTCTTCTTATGGCATTATTTATAGAAATAAGCAATATTTATAATTGATCTTAAATGTATAATTTTGTTCATAATTTATATTAATCGATCCAAATAGGATTAAAAATTTAATAGTGAATGTACTTAATGAAAATCATTGTACTTAATAATGCTCAGTGAAAGTTTGATAGCTTTTTATTTACATTTCAAATTTTATATATAGATATATTAATTGTTTGATATCTTCTATCATAGTTTTTGTATTTTGAAAGTGATATGTGATTTCATTAATTTTGTTTAAGGGCAAATTATTATATGTGGTCTTTTAAAATGACCCATTTTTAAAACAACTTTATTTCGAAAAAGGAACAGATTTTTTTCGAAGTTACTATAACATTAACTTGTTACTATAACAAAAATATGTATCACAATAAACGTCTTCTTACCGCTTACTGCACCAGCAGCTATATAGTACAGACAAGAAGTTTGTTATTGAATAAAATGTATAAACAAAGACTTAATGGATAAAAACATTTTTATATTAAAAAGATAATACATACAGGCGACACACATCATATTTTCCCTCATGTTAAATGTGATGAGTGTAAAAATTAAGTAAACTCATTGATACCTAAACTCATTTAGCAACTCTTTTTAAGTTTCTTAGCGAAATGAAAAGCTTGCAAAAGCGTAATGAAAACTAAAAAGAATTATTGTATGTTTTGAAAGCAAGAGTGAATCTAGAATTAAATTTGAAAAGTATTGTTATTTACAGCAGGTGATTGTTGTTAACTTAAGGAAAGTCAACATCTTAGCGTTATAATAATGCTTGAGGAAAAGCGTTAATAATGTTGACTATTAAGGAACATATGCTCATGAACTTAAAAAAGTTAATCCATTCAAACTTAAGCCTAACCTGTCATAAAAACTAAAAATGATGCATTCAAATGAAAAAATAATAATTCATATAAATATTCTAATCCATTTTTCAAATAATAAATATCGGTAAATAAATTTCTACTGTGAGTGATTAAATTAATTTCTTGAAATATTTTGGACAAATATCAATAAACTTCCACTTACCATTATTAATAATTCCTGTAAATGGGAAAAATTTCTTCCAAATCAACAATTTTAATCATTAAATAAAAGAGCATAGAAAACGTTTATAAAAAATGTAATAGAAAGCGTTTCTGGGAAATTTTGTTTACAGCTGCCACGTGTTTTTCATTATTAGACGCTAAAAACAATAGTAAATAATAAAGCTTTTATAATTTTTATTATGATAATGTTGAATCTATTTGCCTGTATACTAGTGCGTACTGTTGCATTAAAACAGGTTGTTTGAAAATCAAAGCTTAGAAAAAGAAGAATAACTCTCTTCAAATATATCTACAATGATTGTATCGCTTTATTTTTGATGTTTTATTAACGAGTTTGCGTCTATTTCCAATTTCGGTATTTGCGAACATTTTACATAACAGTATATAAAACATCTATAACACAAATTAGTTTAATTTTTAAGATCTTATTATAGCTGAATATGTAAAGATAACTTTTAAAAATGTTACTGATTTATTAATTTTATACTTATTTTACTAATTACTGACAAATTTACTGACTAATGAGGAAAAAACCATATAAATATTAGAAAAGATAATTAAATGATAAAATATGTATTACCTACTTCATATTTTAAATATTTTCAGAGTACTTTCCATTAATTTGAAATATTTTGAAGCTTAATGAATTCTTGAAATATTGCCACAATAGAACAATTTCAGAATTTATAATAATGAATTAAAGAGACAGTGCGAAAAAAGCACGAGACTTCGGAAATGTTTTTTATCTAAGGTGAACTATAATATCGCTCAAAACTGTTGCATCTTTTAAGCTAACGATAAAACTGTTGCATCATAAGGGTTAAGCTAAACTATAATATCATGAAAATAATTGCATTTTAAACTTGAATTTCGATACTATGGCACTATTTCAACCGAAAGTCAGTTGAATTTTGCACCTTAATAAAGTGGAAATAAATTTTCACTTCATTATATCTCCCGTAGCAGCGAGTTTTTTAAAAGGAAATTAGTAAAGAATTTGGATGAATAATATTTCGTTTTTTGGAAATTTTTGTTTCATTTATTTGTATGGTCGAATAGTTATAGCTGGTCATTCTAAAATTTCTGATCCATCTTTAAATATATAATTATTTTACTAAGGGAACTTTTTTTTTATTAAGAAATAAAAAAACTAAAATGTTACAATTATGAAACTTAGATATATTTTATAACTTAATGAAGATTTTTCCTAATCTTGAATCAGATAAATATAATTGTGATTTTTAATATAATACTACAAAGTTTATGAGTTTCATGTACAGACAGAAAACACGCAAACTATATACTTTTCTAAATCCGGGTATTCATTCGTTTCGTTGCTATTAACATATAAACTAAACGCTCTTACATAAATTTATATTAATTATGTATTTTATCAGTAAAAATCTCTTTTTGGGGAAAATATCGAATTAAAAAAAGTGATAAATAAGAATCTATTACGAGAAATAGAAGTGAGCCTTCTTGTCGGTTGCAAGAATCTGAAGTATTAAGAGCAGAATAACTAATCAGTTAGGAAATATTCTTTTTATATGCAGTTAAAAAGCAAACTATTTCTTACCTGAAATTCCTCTTTCCACTGCAACAGAACAAAGCAATTTTTATTACATTAAAAAAAATAGTACACTTTATAATAACTATATTTGGAACTACTTAAAATTTTATTTTTCAAAATAATTATTTTTTAATATATCCGTTAGCTAAATTTTAAAGATACTTCTACTCAAACTCAAATTTTATGCTCAAAATGTGTTAAAATTACGGTTTTATTTTATTTAATGGATTATGTAAATACATTTTTGCGATAATTTCTATAAGTTATCATCATTATATCTTTGTTCAATTGTTAGATATTATATCTTAGACTCATTATATTTTAGACAATATCCGATGTTTCATTTACGGTGTGTATTATAATGCAATGTAAATAGTTGAGTTTTAATTATACAATAAAAGCATAAAAAAATAAATTGCATTAAAAATGTAAATAAGATTGATTCTTCGTTTTCTTTCTTTGTCAGCTTCAACAGCCATTTGAAAGCCTTGGCTGCCGCAACACCTGACAAACGCCAGCGCCTGCTGTCCATGGCACCTCCCTTCCATTGAGATTGATTACTATAGCCAAGATTGTTGATCTTCCATACAAAATTGCATAATCAAAGTATATTAGCTTAGACATTCGATATTTAATTTCGAAACTTTTAAAGCTTAAGACTAAGGATTTCCTTGCCACAATAAGTATTCAAATATAAGTCAATATAAGTCAATATATAAAATAAGTATTCAAGTTAGTATAAATTTATTTAATTTAATTTTAATTTTTTTTTACGTAAAATGATTTTTTCATACTTCGTTTTATAATAAAGTCATTAGAAATAAAGTATTTATGACTTACATCCTCTGTCAACTCCTAAAAATATACGGAACATTTATGTACATACATAATTTTTAAACAGTCATTTGAGCATTTATTAAGCATGCAAGAAAATTTTATTTAAATAATCTATCCAATAAATCTTTGAGTTATTAAGATTGATTGGAATTCTGCGTATTGCTTATGTTTCTGAATTATAACTTTATAAGCCGCTTAGAGGTAAATGAATATGCCTAGTTTTCTTAAATTAGTTTCGTTTATTTCTAAATCTGCCACTTCTGAATAACGTAGTACATTTTTACAGAAACGCATATCTAGTCAAATAATTTTTTAATTTTTTCTTCATTAATATTTTAAGCATTTAGTATTTAAGAATTTAAGCTACTCAAATATTAAATAAAATGATTGCGCCCGGTAAAATCATTTCTATTTGTCACATTTTAATTATATGTGCATGGACATATTTTGATCATTTTTAAAATTTCTGTTTAGAAATAATGTGTATTATAAAGTAACCAGGAAATATCTATACTAGTTCACGCTGGTTTCTTTGCTAGGGTATAGAATTTCTTGCTTGCCTAGCAAACAAATACCATCCAAAGATTTAACCTCGGTAAAAGAACGAAACATCAGCGAAGAATTTGAAAATGTTTTGAAAAATAATCTTAGCTTAACAGACAGTTAAACTTTAAATAAATTGTCAGGAATATTGTTGAGAAATTAATTTAAATCTCTTGGATTCCCTCCATGGTTCATTTAAAAAAATTAACAATAACACCAAAATTGAAAAATTTTAAAGAAGTATTTTTTATAACTTACCGACTAGAGCTCCCTCTGTAAGAANCTTAACAGACAGTTAAACTTTAAATAAATTGTCAGGAATATTGTTGAGAAATTAATTTAAATCTCTTGGAATCCCTCCATGGTTCATTTAAAAATAAAGAAGTATTTTTTATAACTTACCGACTAGAGCTCCCTCTGTAAGAATAATAAATGCAGATTAGTAAAAGATTTAAGTTAGAATATAGAATAATTAATATTAAGAATATTTAATATATATTTACACAAATGCAGAAATAAAGGAGAAATATTTCGAGTAATCTTCATCATCTAGATGAGCAATAATATAAAAAATTCATAATGAAAACTTTAAGTAGAAAAATTACTAACTTTTATATTTATATTCAAGTATAAGTATTTAAAGTACGCACTGATCTTACAATTGCATAAATATCAAAAGCTTAAAATTATAAAATTTTAATTAGTAGTTAGTTTTTCCAAAATATTTACTTCAAACTAACTTCTTTGCTCTAATAAAAGTTCAAATTTATATCATAAAAATGTGCATATTTAAAAATAGTTTAATGTTATTTAAAGTAAAAATGTCTGAAAAATAGTGTTTCATTATCACTTACGCTGGCAATTAGTTTCTGTAAGAACAAGCATTTGAAATTGATTAATAAACATTAAACGAGGAAAGATGCTTCTGTCACAAAATAAATACTAAATTGTACAGCAAAAACTTCAATTCTGATAATAAAACCAAAATATACGGAATTTAAATCGTTCATTAGGTAATTTTTTTTATTCGTAGTGTAAAATTTTACCGAAATACGTGTTTTAAAAATTATAGATTATCACAAATGTAGTGAGAAATGCAAAAGTGAAAAATTTACGGAATAAATGGTTTTTATTCGGTTAAGGTATGCCATGCTCTGAGAAAGGGGTGGCGAACCTTTATGTATCAACGTGCCATTTTTTCTTAAAAAAATTTTTAATAAGGTCATAGATGTGTCATCAAATTATTTTGACTTACGTGATTATTGGGGAAATGATAATACTAGGTATTATCAATTCAAAACTCTTTATTTACAACGAAAAAAAAATTGTAATATCTCAGTTTTACGCATAATTAAACTTTAAAGTAACATCAGTGTGACTTCTGTTGTCGCAGATTAGATGACAAATAACTTATATTAGGGTTGTAAGATATTAGTATGCTGAAGTGGAATCGTCCGTCAATCGGTTTTTGAGCGAGTGTTTATTGTTATTCATCTCTGAAAATAATGACTCGCAGTCATGGGTAGACAAAAATATAGTTAAAATAGCGTGAGACAGCTTCTTCAAACAGTTAGATGTGTCTGGTAACGAATTACATTCTTCCAAAATTTTGTTATTCACTTTTTTACTTATATTGCTTGACAATCTTTCTGTTTCGATTAATTCCAACTCTTTTCTTGTTTCAATAAATTTTTGAATCCATATTGAACTGGACAGGAAACAATCAGGTGCATTTCAAATTCCTCAATTTCGAACCTATCGAATCGGGACAAGTTCAATTTATCAAATAAAGTCACATCAGGCTACATAATAAATCTGAGTGTTTCTGACAATTCTTTGAACTGGGAAAATCTCGCTGAAAATTCCTTGATTACAGAATCAATAACAGAAATAAATTCTTCGGTGACTGTTTCTTCACCTGGTTTCTCATGTATATCTAAATCGTTGATACTTTTTTCAAGTTTGGAAAATACTTGTAGTTTCTTGTAATAACACCATTCCTGAAAATATGCACTTTAAGCGTCAAAAGCGCGAATGAGATCTATCATGACGATAATCGTTTTATTCGTGCCTTGAAGCTTCACATTCAATTCATTGAAACGTTGCCATATGTCTGTAAAAAACATAAATTTTGAAAACCACATAACATCCAACAACTATGGGTATTGTTCAATTTTCCCCTCATTTTACAGAAACAGTCTGATTTCTTAAACGCAATCAACAAATCTTTGAATTACGTTCCCGCGGCTCAACCAGCGAGTATTATTATACATCAATAAGCCATTATACACCGAGTTGACTTCATCCAACAGAGCATCAAACTTTCGCTTATTTAAAGCTTGCGGCGAAATGAGGTTGACTATTTTTGTGACTACCCTATTACATAATCAAGAGATGTTAAACCACACTTAGCACACAAGGCTTATCGGTGAATGAGGCAGTGGAATTCATGAATCGAATGTCCTACGAAATAAACTTATGAAACCATTTTTTTTTGCCCACCATACTTGGAGCATAATCAGTTCTTACAAAAAAAAATTCAAGTCAATTTCTTTCTCAATAAACGAAATTTCAACAGCCGTACGTGCCCATTGTAGTTGTTAACAACGATGTTATATCAATTAATTCTATCTTAATGACGTTTTCGCCGCAATATCAAGCAAAAACAGCTAAACGTGCAGTTTCAGTGATGTCAGTTCTTTCGTCAAGCCATAGCGATATAGAAAGAGAGGAGTTAATGTCTATTTTTTGTTGATCTGCTACATTTCCGGCCAGTTTTAATATTCTTTCTTTTATTATGTTTCTAGATAGAGGGTTATCTTTGATGAGCGGAATTATCTTATCTCTGTTATCGAAATAATCAAAAAGTGAGGGCGCGCCTGCTAACTAGGCTTCCTTCAAAAACTCTCCCTCTTGAAAAGGTTTACTATGCCGAGCAATGACATTTGCAGCCGAGTAACTAGCCGCACTCGTATAACAATATTTAATCATAGAAGCGGACTATTTATTTCTGTCTTTCATTGCACTTGCAATTAATTCCTTTTGCTCTGGCTCGCTTTTTTGACTAACGAGTTTGTGATTTGTTTCAAAATGCCGTTTTACAGAAGATGTTCTACATACCACTGTTCCAGAACATAGAACACACACTCTTTTGTCGCCTTTACGAATCATGCTATATTTCTCAGTCCACCAGGTTTGAAATTCTCTGTTATGCTTACAATTTTGCACTTTTGCTTTTATTGATGAACTAACCATATTAAATAACAGTTAAAAATCTTAAATATAACACAAATAAACTTTAAAGTACAGTTATGTCAACGAAATTGGCTATTATGATTTGCGTAAACTAATAATGCGTCACTATACTCCGATATACACTATCTAGCCATTAATGACCGGACACTGTGAAGTTCGGCGGTGGAGGAATTATGGTGTGGGGCTGTTTCTCATGGTTTGGCCTTGGACCCTTCGTGTTAGTGCGTGGAACCCTGAACGCAGAAGGGTATAGAGACATCCTGGACAATTCGGCACTTCCCATCCTGTGGCAACAGTTCGGTAATGGCCCCTTTGTGTTTCAACACGATAACGCTGCCATTCATAAAGCACATGGCATCACGGACTGGTTTGATGAAATGGGGGTGCAAGAGCTTGACTGGCCATCCCAAAGTCCCGACATCAATCCAATTGAGCATCTCTGGGATGAGTTGGAGCGCCGGTTGAGGGCCAGACCACAACGCCCCAAAACCACCACTCAACTCTTCGCCATGTTACAGGAGGAATGGCGGGCAATACCTGCCGCCGTGTACCAACACCTAGCGGACAGCCTTCCTAGAAGGGTTAAAGCTGTGATTCCGGCGCGTGGCAGCCCTACGCCCTACTGACTTGATACTAGCACCTCATGTATCCGAAATTAGGGGTGTCCGGTCATTAATGGCCAGATAGTGTATATATATTGCTTTGAATCATCTAGAATAGTATAACGGAGCTCAACTTACGAACTATTAAACTAATTAAAGAAGTGATTATACTTTCAACTAGTTGTAATACACAAGGATCGTATATTACATGTTTCTTTTGGTGTCAGTATGATAAAAATTAGAAAAGCATTTTTATTTTCTTAATTATAAAATACTGTAAAATCAAACGCTATGTACATTTCAGAATATACGAAACACAGTTAATACTTACTTAATCCAAGTCCATTTTTAGGTTTAGGTGTTACTTCTGCAAAAAAAAGTATGTTTTCATGGTGTGCTAAAGTGCTTATAAGAGATACGCAAACAAATATAAATGCAAATACCAAAAAAAAATCAAAATATATATCTTAAAAATAAAAAAAAGTAGTTATCTATACTTTCTTGAATCGTTCGAAACTATCATGTTCATTCAAGTAAATGTGATTACTTTTAAAGGGAGAATATCAATTTAAGAAAAAAAGTTAAAAGTGGACATTTAAACTTTTCAAATTTCGAATGATGATTAAAACATAATGTCTCAGTCTAGTAGATTGACGATGGCAAAATAATGCTGCACAATGTCTGAAGAACAAAATGCGAACAACAGGATTCAAACTGTCTATAAAAGTCTAGTGTTATAAAAATTCAAATTCAATGGCATATCAGTTATAATTCATATGAAATTAAGGTAATTGTCCCTCCTCATAATAGCCAGTTTTAAGCCAAGAGGTAATGGGATAATAGGCAGCTTAATTTGAAGGATAAAATCTTGATAGTTTTCTTATTCTGATACATGACAGTGTTCTGGTTGACTCAAAAAGCTTTGTCTTTCTTGATACATTAGATACCACTTGGCATGACGGTAGGTGTACCAAGCTGTATTTTTTATATACGAAGCTATATTTTTTATTTATAGAGGCAAACATTGCACATTATAGTTTAAAATAGATTATTTAGCGTGATAAGTATGCTAAGTTTTGGTATTTACTGATTTATCGGGTATGCCATTATATTTGCCATTCTTGCATAAATGAACTATTGTTATGCATAAAGTCTACCGACCTTCACGGTGGCTGGCCTAGACCATTTTTCAATTTAAAACATTAGCAAATGCAGGAGCGTTTAAATAATTGACTAATTAATTCTTCTAAAACTTGGGGAAAATGTACCAAAATAAATGCACACGTGCTGCAAATATATTTATTAGCAAAATTAAAAAAGTAAGAAATTCAATTCTTTTCCGTAAAAATGAAACATAATTATGTAATTTAAATCTAATTTTAAGTTCATTTTTAAGAATATTTGAATTTTACTTACCTTCTTTGAATTTATGAACTACAAAATGAAAGAAAAATGTTTTTCAAATGCAAAACAAAGTTTATTAATTAATTCCATTACTTAGTTCTGTAAATTGGCCTTTATAAAGTTTTTTTTTTCTCAAATTAAAACGCAAGCATTATTTCTGTTAAATAAACCCATCATAAATTATGCATGAGCTCATGTAATGTTAAGTAAATTTAAAAGATTTTTTAATCACATTTTATCAACATTTTTCTCTTACTCTATATTTTTCTTTAGAAATTCTTATACCCTTTTCTTTGATAACTCTTGAACCTCCAACTACCTAAGCTTTGCTAGTAAATTCACCTAACTTTATCTACTTTGCATATAAACTTCAGACGCAAGATGATGAAAAACCTACCAGTCGTGCAGTTCCGGTGATACACGTTTCGATTATTTGAGCTATTACGACCCGGTTTACACAAATCTGCTTAAGACCGTAACCTTTCCTATAACTCACAAAAATAAATGTAATATTGATTCCCAAGTTTCTTCAAAAGTAGTTAAATATTATTGCAACTTACTCACGAGTCCTTCATGATATCCACACCCGTTCATTGAAAAATGTGGGGATGATCATAATGTAAATTTCTAGCTTTTATTAATATCGTAAATAAAAATTTTATTCAAAATAAATAATTATAAGAAATTATTTTAGTCCCATGTTACATTTTGTATGAAATTTCTTATTATAAAAAAATATTCGGTGCTAAGGGATTCGAGCTTACATTCTGAGATAAATGATAATAGTCTAAATCAAATAATTGAGAGAAAACCCTTGATTCACTCATATGAATTGTCTTTATGAATGATTACAATCATTTTTGCATTTTTATTATGTGTTACAAATAATGCTCCGAAGCATTATGCAGAATTTGTGGAATTATTCTACTGAATAAAGTGAAAATCATGAATATGAGATTGTATAGTTACTTACCGTGGGTTACCAGTTTGGAAGCTATAAGCATAGGACTTTTGTTTCAGTCAATGCAATCATTAAAAAAATTAATAAGAAATGCTAAAAATCGTTTTAAAACAGGGGTTTTGTACATGTTACTGAATTGGTGTTTAGAGTAGTAAATTTTTGACTTATTTCATTTTAAGCTGTTATATTTTAGCCATCTGAAAACCTATGAAAAAACACTAACGTGAATTACACTATAAAGTGTCTTTAAGAATAATTTTTTGCACATTTAAGCCGTTTAATGTGTAATGCTTTTACATTTTCTTAGCAGTTAAGTCTTTAAATGCTGAACAAATAACAATTTTGCAAAAGCTGAATCAATTATAATCTTTTTCAGTTTCTTACGTAAGTAATTTTAAGTATAATAATTATGCTAATTACATAATTTATTTTATATTTACTTCAGTTTAAAAATCTTTAGTTGTCTTAACAAATTAGTGGAAAATAAAGTAATTAAATTGTATGCACCTCAGGTTTTCGAAATACATACAAGTTCCTTTAATTGATACATGACAATTTGAAATATGATTTAATTTATAAAAAAAGAATTCGTCTTCAAAATGAAATAAAAATTAATTTATGTGAAAAGTCAAATACTTGTTACTAACATTGTTATTTAGGCTTGTTTTTGTAAGGAAAAACTAATTATATCTTATAATTGAACTGGAACAGAATAAAAAAGTAATTTAAATTTTACTTACTGACTTTATGCTCTGTAAAAATGAAGAAAAATACAGTTAATCATGATAAAATATATCTTATTGAGTAAGGTTATCAGATCAGGATAATAATCAAAATATTGTGTAGTAAAAATCCTTATTCTTAGTGACTGCTTATGAAAAGTTATCGAATGAGTTACCTAGAACGAAGAAACGATAAATACTGAATTTATACATTTGTATTTGATCTCTTCTGTCAGGGGTATTTAGTTTAGAAATAAAATAATATAAAATCTTTTGTTATGTTATTTAGGTCTTCGACAATCTTTGGTGTTAGCAAAATGCCATGTTTAATCCAATACAAGCACTGGTTTAAATACAAGTTCTTTGGAGATATTGGCATTTGCCAAAGGCAACTTTCAAAATTTAAATTATATTTGGTGAGCCGTTTTACGCGAATAACTACGTATATATTTTATTTACTTAAATGTTGAGACTTTCATTAAGCTGTAAATAAGCTAATGATATATAAGTACGAAGTTTTCTCAATAGAAGCCTTGTAAGGAGTTGCATAGGCACAAATTAATAGCTAGGTATGTTTTTTTTTTCTTTAAACGCAAGGAGAAACCTGTATTTGATAAGAATTTCAGTTTAAATTTTCTGTCGCATTGTTACTCGGTGAAGTAATTCTAAAATTGGAATTATAAAAATGTTGAAAAATTATTTTCTAAATACATTAATGAGAAACGTGAAAAGAAAATTGATGCTAGCAACTGAACAAAAAAAGAATGTGTTAACTAACTTCCCTTATTATCTAGCACCTACTTCAAAAATTAGACGAATTCCGAGAAATTGCTTTAATTATGAAAATTCTCACTTTCTCACTTTAATAATGAAAATTAAAAAATGAACGCATTTTCTTAACGATTATATGACTTTTCGATTAAATGAAGAAATTTAAGATTTTTTAACCTCTTATTGTTATTTAAATATTTGAAAAGAAAGAACTTGAAAGGAATTCATTTTCCAGACAAGAAAATATATTTTCCATTCTTCAGTCATATATTTTTCCTTTGCCTGTTTTTAAAACTTTAATTTTATTTTCATCAGATAATCAAATTATCGACATATGCCTCTATAATATGAACAGGTTATCAAGGCATCAATGGACAATGATTAATATCAAATGTCATTTTATCACAATGAAACTTTTACTTACCAGTAGGACGAGCTTCACCTAAAAGTAATTAGGAAGATTTTTTAGAAAGAAAATTAATAGATCAAATATAAACACGTTTTTCATTAAATCATGTTTTTTGATTTACCGTATCATATTTTTTTCTCTATATAACGAAAATTTTGCTCAAGCATTTATACATAAAAATGTGTATCATGTCAAACGAAGGAATAGCATACAACTAGCATAATTAGTTATCCTTTCTCAGTATATTATAAATATAAAATTTTCTTCAGTAAATCATGCAATTATAGTTGTTTTAATTACTTCGAAAGTTGCAACTTGAACAATAATATTTCCACGTACAAATTGGGATAGTTAATTAATTGGTACAATTTAGAATGTATTATTTATATATTTGAAACCTTGTGGAATAACCTATTTCTTTAAATAAATGCAACGTTTATCTGCGTGTATGTCGTAGACCAATTTGAAAAAATGGCTTTTTAAAAAGTCACGAACATTTTGCAGTGAGCAAAGCTAATTAGAAGACTTTTTTTTTAATTTTCTTATCTGTTTGATATGTTTACTCTTATTACAGCTTATATGTCCCTAGGATGAATAAATATTGTTCGAAGCTTCGCTCAATCAGACTGATTTTGTTTAAGCTATTACATGATCATCATTGAAGTTAGGAGCAAAAAAGACGATTTAGATGACTTAAAAATCAACAGAATCTAATACATATTTCCTCGTCATTAAAATTATCCATATCAATGTAAGCGCAGTATTATATGATTTATACTTTTCCTGAAATTGATTCAACAAAATTTAAGAAACACGGCTTTAAAACAATTTAAAGTTTTATTTTAACTCCAATTAATAAAATTTATTTTTTACTTTGCCTTCAAAATGGGGGGGGGGAGCAATCCTTCTATCACTCATTAGTTATTTCTCAGAAATTTAATAATTATAAATCAGATTAATATTCTAATTTTAAATAGTTATACCAAATGTCACTTTAAAAAGTTCATAAAATAATGATTTATCTCATACTTAAACATAGCTATGAAAATTGGAAATATTTATGGCTTTTTAAATGTAAATATTGATATTTTTTAACCTACACGATAAAAATGTTTTTAATTGTTATAGATAGATTAGCGAAGCTCTTTTATTTATAATATTTGCATTTCATTTTTTAAACTCAGACATTCTTTTCTACGTTAACTTAAGACACTTACATAAAGCTAAAAGGGTGACTCCGAGGAAAAGTACGAGAGAGTTCATGTTGTCCTGGATATTTTGAAAAAGATGTGAAAAACTGTCCACCGATCCTTTATTTGTAGGAGAACGTATACTTTTTCAAGTATATTTTTTCAAATAATGATAACAATAAAAAGATATTATTGCTGTTTTACTGCTGCAGGCATTCAAATTAATGAATATTCTGAGCACACGAAAGTGAGTGGAAATAAAAATATTATTTCCTTTTGAAGATTCCAAGACATTTCTAATTGTTGATTACCAAAACGTATGACATTTAAGAGATTCTCTTTTTCCAATGAAAAATATCATTTGAAAATTGCAGTTAGGAGTTAAGTTAATTATATGTGATGAGCAAAGAAATGACTCTTTAATATAAGTTAAATTTATATATTATGCTTACTTTATATTAATGATAGTAGCATGTATTTCCCAATAAAGAATTTTGCTGCATAAAAATCATAAGACTCAACAAATTTAAATTACGAATTGTGTAAAACATTAGCACGACGTAGGATTTCAATGAAAAATTAAATTAAAAATTAATTCGAGAGTTACTTGTTGGTAACTTAATTATAAAAAATATCTATCCTTGTGTTCTACAGAAATGCGACTATTAAGTTATAAAATGTGGTAGAGGCTATTTTTCATAAGCGGTTTTAAAGCTTGTTTTCTTTTCTTTTTTTTTCTTTTTAGTTTCTTATCTTTTTAAAAAAAAGTTATTCAAAATTTAGTTTCGTTGTTCTCATTTTTTTTTTCAATGCTACTTTTCAATTTTCATAGAAAAATTATTGACGACCTCATGAGATCTAATTTTTAGAACTTGCTCTTGAGTTGATTCCGAGACGAACAAAAAGAAAAGAAAGGACTTAGATATTGCACGACATCTAATTTTTTTGTGGAAATCATTCAATCATGAAATTATTCTTTTAACATCAATAAGTTCTTTAAAGATATAAAGTCAATGGTTTGGACGAGAATCCCAGTCCGTTCACCAATAATTAGAAATAAAAGTGAGTGAATTGTTCCCAGACAGTTAGAAGCATGGGAACAGATTCATAGTTCGCGATTTATCTAAAGATAACAAAGCCAAACAAAAATGTAACACCCTTGTTATCAATATTAGATTTGAAAATAATTTTGCGAAAGCGAATCACCATAAAGACTGACAGAATTAGTATTACCACGTGTGGCAGATGTTTGTTTCTCCGTCATTAGCCGCCAATATTCGTATAGTAGATTTTTACTTAGCCGTACAAAAATACATTTTTGATTATATAAATACTAAAAATGGATAATGTCTAGGAAAGGAAAATAACGTCCATTTCTTCATCCTAAATAGAAATCCCTTAAAGCAGCGTTTCTCAACCTTTCAGTATTCGCGGCCCAGTTTTCAATCATAATTTTCATCGCGCCCCCCCCCCTTCANGAGAATTATTGCAACCATGCAACCGAAACATTTAGCAGTTGGAAATTTAGAATAAAAAGTTATAAATAGATTTTTGTCTTCGATTAGAGGCGACAGTGAATTAATAAATCTGCATAGCAATGAAATAAAAAGTATCCGTTACATTGATCAAGAAGAGATAAAATAAATATTTTATGTTCGTGTTCGTTTTAAAAGATTAAGTCTTTGATTTATTTTAAATGTAATTCTATTAATAAAAAAAAGCGTAAGTAATGAAAGATATTTTAAAAGGATAGAAAAAAAAATGTAATGCCAATTGTGGCATCACACCATGTAACTGAAACATTTTTGTAATAAGAAATAAAAAAAAGAGTTAGAAATCAATATTGTCGAGAAAGTGAATTAATGAGTTTTACATTTGCATTCAAATAAAAAGTTAGCCGTTACATTATTATCAAGAAAGGAATAAAATATTTATATTTGCTTTTTTTATAAAATGAAATAAAAATAAGTAATTGGTTAATTTTATTTATAATTATTCATTTCGTTAGGATTAATATGTTAAAAATATTTGTACATAAATTAAAATAACTATATACTTTAATAGAATTTTCCTTAATGTTTAAAAAATATCGATTTTTAAGGGAAAACAGAGTTGAGCGCAAATCAATCACAGAGGTTGCTCCACGGATTTCGTAAGAACTTTAATTTAAATAGCTGAAATTCTAAAATAACATCGATTATTCGTTTAAGAAGTAACTGCAATCGTACTGTTCTTATTTTTTTGTATATCTATACCACTAAAACTTTATGGCAAGTTTTAATAAAATATTTTATTGTATCAAATGATAATAAAATTCATTAATAACTTTATCAATTTCTTGAAAACAACGAGTACGTACAAAACAAAATATTTTCGAAATAAAATGACTTCGTTTAACAGTGAAAGAGTCTTATATTTAAAAATAAAAAAATGCTTACTAAACATTAAATGTGTAACGAGTATTTATTAAATGGGCTAAATGTAATAAATGATAAAAAAAAGCTTTTATTTCGTTTTTATTTCTCCTTCCTATAGATATGCTATAAAATTTCTGAACTTTTATGCATGGATCAAAATGATTATTGTTTTATTACAACATTAATATTTGGATATTTTAACGACTTTTGAATAGAAACATTCTCCAAAAATAGTAAAATAATCAGGTGGTATATGGAAGTAATTCTTTTTACTAGGTTTGAATATGGAAAACTACGTTTTAAGAGTACGTCATCGAAAGTAAGTCACTTTTACTTAATTATTCAGATTATGAGAGATCCCGCGTCTTTACTTCCCTATTTTATATGAGTAACTTCATATGAGTTACTTCATATCAGTAATCACGAAATATTTCTTCACGTGTACTCATTATGACATACTAATTTTCATTTTCAATGGTGCAAAGAGCTGGAATTTGAAAAATATGGTCCCATTATCTTAGTTAGGAGATCAGGAATTTCACTTTCAATCTATGTTTTATTTCATTCTGTCTTATAAACTTCTAAGCTAACAGAATGTATGTCATGATGATATGTTACGAATGTATATGTAATAAAAATTTAAAAAATGAAAAAATAAAAAAAACTAATTAAGAAATTAAAGATGTAAATATATTTTTACTCTTTTTTATTTAATTATTTTAAAATGCAACATAATTCTGTCTTATAAACTTCCAAAGGAATAGAATGTATGTCATGATGATATGTTACATATGTATATGTAATAAAAATTTAAAAAATGGAAAAATTTAAAAAAGAAATTAATTAAGAAAATAAAAATTTAAATATATTTTTACTTTTTTTATTATAATTGTTTTAAAATGCGGCATAAAAATAACATAGACATTCTGTCTTATAAGCTTCAAAGCGAATGCATGATGATATGTTACGTATATATATGTAATAAAAATTTAAAAAGAATAAATCAAAAAAAAGTAATTAAGAAATTAAAGATGTAAATGTATTTTTACTTTTTTTATTATAATTTATTTAAAATGCAATATGAAAATAACATTGACTATTTCTCTGCTTTTTCTTTCCTCACGCGTAATGCACACAAAACTTAGAATTTTTATTTGTTTTTTTTATCTTAAAATGTCACTGGAGCTCTTATTTTATAGTGTTTTCAAGACAAGAATAACTTTAATGAAGTATTTTAATCCAATTTAATTAAAAAATCTTAAATATCTTGACACGCTTGAATAGCTGTCACAAACTCAGATTTAAAATTATAAGCTTAACATTTCAGAAATAAATATTTTTGAGAAAAGTTGAATGTAACTCACTTTTAATTGATTTTGACTTTGAGTTTTAAATTTCTTGTCAATAATAAAAAAAAAATTGTGAAAGAAAATAATGTTTTATATAGTCATTTAAATTCCTTGAATCCATCAAGTTTTGCTTCAAAACCACTTTAAATATTACGAAGGATATACGGAAATATTTTGAAAAAAGGGATAGGATTCTTAGAGGTAAAGACTTTTAGGATATCTTTTTATGTCTATGAAGATGTAGTACCTATTATGTTTTGTTGCTATGCTCTTTTTGCGCATTTCCATATGATTCCTTTAACCTTCTAAGATGTAGCTACCCAATATAATGTACAACTTTTGATATAATTTTGTAAATTAAAAAATTTTACTTAAAGACTTTTCTTTTCTGTTTGTATGTTGATTTATATTCTTTATATTATATTGATTTATAGTATATTGATTTATTAGTAAATTTAGAAAATCTTGGTAATTTTCCATTTTTGGTATTTTTTAATAAAAACGCAAAGATATTCAGCTATTGTTTAGTTTTTATTCATTTAGTAAATGCTTGTTAAAAGTGCTTTAATTTGGTTAGCATTCCTTTTTATTTCAATGTGATCTATAAGCTCTTATCTACCAAGCCAAAAAACTATAAAAATTGCAAATATGTAAATAGAAAATGACAAGGATAAGACTAAGATAGGCTAAGACTAAAGATAAGACTAAGACAAGGAAAGACAAGGAAAATTATTTCTTTCTTTATTAATCAAATGTCAGTCAGTTGACCATTAAGTTAATAGTTTTCTTGCTTAGCAATATCTTTCTACAATACAGTTACTATGTCTACAACATACAGCAGGGCTTTCGTCAATGTGGTTAACAGTTATCTCTGGTATAGTTGAACACATTATAGAAATAGCTGAATTGAGAATTTTAAACCAAAAAGATAGAAATTTCAAAAACGGAATAATCCGTGCACTTAGAAATATGTTACAATGCATTCACAATCACACGAAAAGTTTTAAGAACTAATGATAAAGATCAATGAAATCCAAATGATTATGAACAGATAGCAGTTCAAATGGCTAGGAAAATTGTTAATTGACGTAATTGATCTTCAATGAAGTTCTGGTAATAGCAACCGCATAAGAATGTTAAAAATTACCAATTAAAATGCAAAATGAATGATTGTGCAGCGCAGAAAGAAACAAAAATCTTGATGACTAGTTACACAGATTCATTGAACACTTCTGAGATGTATAAAACAAGATAACTGTTTTTTCTACTTGAAACACATGAACTTATGTACAATCAAATAAGGAACAGGAAATAATGTAATCAAATCTTCTAGACGTGTGTCCGAGCAGCGACAATAGTTCTGAAGATCTGTTTGGTTATGTAATTGTGATTCTTCAGAATGTTGCGTAGGAACAACTTTTTCTGTAAAAATTATTTTTTAGATTTCGATAATAATAATAAGACATGGTAATAAGACGATAAGTCAAAAAGCAAAGATTTTCAGCTGAACCATTACCATAACAAATAGCAAAATTATAAAATGAATGATTTGGTGTAAGCTGCAAAAATTCCAGCGTTTTTTTAGTTTTTTTTTTTATTATTTTTAATATTTTTTAAATTATAAATATGCTTAGCATATAATTATTTTTAACAGAACTGCTTTCTCAGTGTACGTAAACAAAGTAATTGTCATTATAAAGAAATAAATAGATTTATTATTGTTGGTTGGAGCCTTTAATAACAAAGAAAATCTGCGAGAAATTTAATAAATTCGATTCAAGTAAAAGTTTAAACAGTTCAAATTGAGTCTAGTTGCTTTTGCTTCATAACCAAAATGTAAAATGCTCCATAAAATTATCCTACACTATGCTAAAAATTAAAGTTTATTTACGTGTGTAACGAATGATAATAACTAAAAAAGTAAACTAAGTTTATTTAGGGTAGTCGGTATGACCTATACCAACAATTTTAAAATGACAAACTTTATGTACCTTTTTCTCAAAATGTTCAACATAGGGATTTGAAATTTTTTTTGGAGCTTAATTAGACTGTTATGCATACACTGAGGTGATAATCATATCGATAAATATAATTTTTATTTAATACTAAGCACCCTTGTAAAATAAAATTTTTCGGCAAGTTACCAATAGTTAAAAATAAAAATTTCATGAAGTTTTCACTTTAGTATATGTACTTATACATAATAAACATATAGTTAAAATTTCAAGGCAGTGTTCCTAAGAAAAAGTTACACGAAGATTGAAAATATAATTTTAGGAAAACGCCACTTTAATGTAAAAATCGCAGTCTACTAAAATATTCTGACAATGTTTCTAAATTTCTTTTCATTTTCTTTAGTTACTACTTATATCCTACTTAATTTTATATTTTTTAAATTCCTTCTTGTTATTTTGGTCACAAAAAGCATAATTTTACTTGCACAAAATACATGATAAACTACGACAGCAATGTAAAAATAATGAATGTATTCACTTTTAAAAAATTCTGACTATAAAAACTTTTCTAATAAGGAATAAATAAGTACTATTATTTATTCCTAAAGTGTTATTTAATAAATATAACTTAAAATATCATATTTCTAAACAGTTTAATAGTGCACAAAATACTAAAAAGTGTAATATCTTACATTTCAATATCAGAAATTTATTTTTGTATACGATAGTAAATCAAAAAATATTTATAAAATCAGTGTGATTTATTGCTGGACTACATAAGCAATATGAGGTACAATCAAAATAAATCGTTACATTATTTATTTTATGTGTTATGATTAATAAGAAAAATGAAATGTTTAAAACAGTATCTAAATGTCACATAAAACAATGCAAAAAAAGCTGAATTGCAACAATAAGTAAGACCCAATTAAAATATTCCCGCCCCATAGCTAGATGTTTGAAACTATGAGGATTTTTGATTTCATTTTGATTTTAAGATTTTAAGAAGGCTTTCTGGTTTTAAGATTTTTGTGGCTTTTTGCATTTTTTCTTCCTCACATTTTCTTTTTAGCCTTTTTTCCTTGTTTGCTGATAAAATGCATATTTTGCCAGCAATAGTTTTTCTTCATCTAGACACNGCACATAATAGGGTGGGCCAGTGCCTTCCTTTGAATTCGAATCCACTTCTCTCTACTTTTGACACTTGTTCGCCAGTTTTTCTCCTTTAGAGTAAGGAAATCAGTCTCAACTAAATCCAGCCATCTCAGCCTGGGTCTACCTCTTTTCCTGTTCGTTAGGGGTGGACAAAATGCATGCCGAGGTATATCATCAGTTGATTCAGTATGCTTGTGAATTGCCCAGATAGCTTGACGCATGTCTTTTACACTTCCTATATTTCGTCTTATCGCAAGGCCATGGTAAGTTCGAATTTTATCAATAACACTATCTGTGGGAAGATTTTTCATCAATATCCCTTTGCTGTCACTTAGTTTTTCCCTTCAAATCGCATTTTTGCTGACGAACTCTTGAGCCTATGCGCTTCATTACATGCCAAGTGCACTCAAGTTTCGTGACTTGATAATCATCTCCATATATAATTTGTTTTTTGATGTTATCAAAGGCTTTTGAATCTCCATCCCCTAAATAAGTTGTATAACGTAGGCCATGGAAAAATAAAGAGTGTATAAAATTTCTTAAAGCGTTTTCTACTTCCATTAGCCAATTAGAACTTTCAAAATTTCGCTTGCAACTTTTTTCATGTTTATTTCTCTTTCTGTATCTACAATACTTTGATAAAACCTCTACATCCAACACTTTGCCAGTGTCTACACTCGTGGCAGAAACAACCCCATTCAATGATATGAAGACTCGCTTCCGCCAGGTTTCGTCAACTACCACAGCTACTTTATTATCTTTATTATTTTCCAGTTTTCTTTCAATCGCAGCTTCTTTCGTAGATATTTCGGAAACTTGCAGTACATGCATTTTTTTTGCTCACTGTACTGACTGTCTGGTATGTTAGTCAGGGAGTTGACCTCTTGTCAAAAAGGTCCCGGATTTGAATCCCAACCAGATGTTCTTTCCATCTTTTCTCTGTACTATATGTCCTTCATGCTGCTAGGCTTAATTTCAGCCCTCCAAATATGGTGTCCCCTGAAAGAGTGGTCAACACATCTGTCCTTTTGATACCCGAATAACGAATAAGACAACGTTTTGATACCCGAATGACAATGTAAGGGTGGACATTGGGAAAAATAAGAATGCAGCATGTCTAATTTAAAAAGGTAAACTTCAGTCATCTTTGTTTAAATTTAATTATAGTTATTTTAATCGTAGCAAGTTAATTGTTTTTCCAACAAATTCAAAATTTAAAAAAAAAACATTTTCTATAAAGTTCTTGGTTTTGAATCCAACTTATTAAGAATTACTCATGTTTAAAATCCTTTCTGGGTTCATTATTCAGAAAAACTTATAACCATATTTTGCTTGCCTGCAACCATATTTTGCTTATCTCTTTAAAAATGACTTTTATGCTTAAATATGAACAGCTTCAACTATTCATAAAATAGCTTTACTCAGTTAAGAGTAAAGAATACTCGAATATAAAACTTTACGCAACAAGATTTATTTTTTTTAATTATTTAAAAAAATGAGTAGTGAAATCAAATGTGATATGTAGTGAGAGTTCAAATTATTAAGTAAAATTTAAAACAGCAACAGATTGTTTTTTGGAACACATACTTTATTTATTATTGAAGTTGATTTTTTACATAGCATCCAATTTTTAATTTAATACTTCTTGTTTCATGGAATGTCTTGAGCATGTCTGGAAAATCTGGACAAAATAGGTAATTTCTTCTGAGCAGACATTATTAAATTTAACTACAAATATTTCATCACAAATTTTTGGATCTATAAGAATTCATAATTTTCAATGAAAAACTAAAATATTTTTTCTGTTGAAGTTTTAATCTACTATCATTTATACCATTTCACAAAAAAATTAGATGTCAAAAATAAAATTTCAATAAAGGTTTTAGAACAAAGCTGTTTTCAAACAATAAAATCAAGTGCTTTCATGTGATATTAAATATTAAATAAAATATATGTTAATTGTTGGTTAAAAGGATTCAAAGAATTCAGTTGATTTCAAAGAATATTTATCAGTTTTATGTTTGAAATTTTTCAGTTGATTATATTTATTCTTAATTTATCTTTTGTATTTTAATTTTTTTATGCTTCTTTAATTAAATGTCAACTTCTTTAATTGAAATTAAATTAATTATTTATTCTAAAAATTTATATTTTTTTCTGTATGATTTTGAAGACTTACTTACGTAAAAAATAAATTTTTAAGTTGAAATAGTACGGGTTTTTTTTCTAAGTAAGAAAACAACAATATTTTACTACAACATAAATGAGTTTTTTTCCCATTTGCCACATGCAATTTAAGGAATAATTTAAAAAATTAAAAAAGAATGGGAGAAGTAGTAATTTTTGTTTCATTGGATATGTATTTTATTGTTAATATTAGTGCCCAATCAGTTAGTCAATTAATTAGTGCTCATTTCATAATAAGTGTAAAGTGTTATGTTTGTGTACTACAGAATTATTTTCAATTATTTTAATTTTTTATAATTCAAAATTTGCAATTTCAGCATGTAACAAGTAGTCCGTGAATTCAATTTTGGTGCTGGTGCTTTCTCGAGCAAGACTTGTTCAAAATTTTCTATTTTCATTACCTAATATATTCTGTTTGTCTCTAACAATAAATGATGCAGATTTATATGAAAAACTATTTATTTGACATTTAAAATTGCATTATTTTTTTCTTTTTAGCCATAATATTTCACACTTCAATAATTATTCTGTTTCACATTCATTATAAAAATCATTTCGATACTTCACGGGTTTGACAGGAGTGAGGTAGAAGTGGATTAAAGTTTTCAGTTATGTTTTGAATGATACATTTTCACATGCGTAAGTAGTTCCAAAACGCCCCCCGAATTCAAAGAAAAACATAAAGAAATGAAACAAGAAATTAATAAAATAAAACAAAAGTTGGTAGACAAACGAAAAAGTACTAAAATTTATAATATTTAAATATACTCAAAATGAAAATTTATTTACCATATGTCGTTCTTACAAGCTCTTAAGTATATCCAAAGCTGAAATTTTAAAGAAAACATGAAGGTAATTATTACAAGAACTAATATATATACAAGTAATTATAAATTTTCCTTAAATATTTATAATTAAAAAAAATTCTAGGTTTTAAATACATTTTGAAAGTAAATATTTGTTTACCTAGATTATTTCATTAAGATTCTTCGGAGATCTCAAATTTGATGAACTATCTAAACTCAAATATTTCAAGTAATGCCAGTTGGAATATTGCAAAAGTTTGCATATTTGCTTCAAATTTCTGATGGTCTTTAAATTTTACTTCTTATATAAATTACATGGTTTTGAAGTATATTATTTCTCACAAGATCTTCATTGTTTCTTTTAATTAAAATATGTAAATTTCAATGTCATAAAATAAAAAAATCAGGAATTTTTGTATTTTTATTCATATTTTATGCAATGTGAATACTTATTACTTTAAATATTCCTTATATTCAATTTATTTATAAATATTGTGAATCTTTTGTTGCTCTTCCTTACTATTTTCCGTCTTTCAACGTATGATTTAGAAGTAAAATAATTATTAAAAATAATATTTCATTGCATTAAAGTCTAAATTTTTAATCGCAGAGTCACAGTAAATTACATAATATATTTACTCGGAATTATTTTATTTTATGATATATATTATGCATGTTATGGAGCAATTTTCAAATTTATAAAAAATTGTTCTTACGGAGAATTCAAAGTTTTTCGCTACTTAACAATTTTTAACTGGTATAGATATAATAATAACTTCGCTAGCTACATTAAATTCTTATTAAAAAAATGCAACACATGAGCTTTTTTTGTTGCTCTTCTTGGAATCATAGTAACCCCCCTCCCACTTCCTCATTCTTTCATATGTGATAGTTACATACATAAAAATTTCATTTAAACCATTATAAATTGTTACGTCTTATTTTTTACTCATCTTGTTTACTCATCACTGTACTACAAGATAACCATTTGAGAGAATATTGCTAAAATAAGAATATCGTTTAGAACTCATCAATCATATTTTTACTCTCGTGTTTCAGGGTGAAGCATGCTTCAGGGTGTTTCACAAAAACTGTGCGTGCACATGAACATTTGCCCAATACAATATTTTTTCTTAACGTGTATGTTTTGAATAAAACGAAATTATCGAAATAAAATAGGTAATTTTTTTTTAAAAAACGGTGAAAGGTAAGTATTGTAAGTAAGTTTACGAATGCATAATCCTAAAAACATTTTTATGTCATTGTAAACGTAAAAAAATGTATTAAAATTTACTTCAAGTTGGAAATATTGAAAACTGTTCACTGAGTTGTTTACGTTTTCTTAATACAGATACAATTCATTGTTATAAAGTTGTTCTCAATATCACCCTTAATATCAACACATGAGCTTTTTTCTCTTTTTTGCTCCTTTTCTTATCATAGTAACACACCTCTTCTCTCATTTCTTCTTTCTTTCCTATGTGATAGTTACATACATAACTCTTTATTTAAACCATTAAAAGTGTTGCATTATAAATTGTTCTATCTTACTTTTTACTCACCTTGTTTATATGTCACAGTACTACAAGATGATCATTTAAAAGAATATTGATATAATAAGAATATCGTTTAGTTCGGCAAAAATTTTTATTTTTCTTTAAGAACAGTTTTGAAATAAAAAGTTTTTCTGATTTATGGAACTCATCAAACATAGCTTTACTCCAGTTACGTGTTTTTGGGTGAAACTTGTTTCAGAGTAATTCACGAAAACTGTACGTGCACATAAACATTTGCCCAATACAACATTTTTTCTCAACGTGTGTTTTTAGAACGAAACGAAACGATCGAAGCGAAATAGGCAAATTTGTTAAAACGGTAAATATTTTAAGTAAGTTTTCGAATGCAAATTCCTAACAACATTTTTGTCTCGTTCTAAACGTAAAAAAAACATATTAAGATTTCCTTCCAGTTGGAAATATTGAAAACTGTTTACTGAGTTGCTTATGTTTTCTTAGTACAGATACAATTCATTGTTATAAAGTTATGCTCATTATCAACCTTTGAAACTTACCTTGGTCTAAAACATCTAGAATTGAAAATGATTTGAATTAAATTGCTGTATTTACGAATTATTTGAAAAATATTATTAATAATAATAAAATTTAAGTAATTATATTTATGTGATTATCAAGTTCTACGTCCGCAATTCATAAAACTAACAGTCTTTGGAAAACAAACTCATTCCTTATATAGTCATTTATTTTAGGAGTAAAAAGATTTGAGAAGTAAAATTTTAAGTTTTCTATTATAGAGCTTTTAAATTCCTAAGCATGGAAAATACTTTAAATTTAAAAATACTTACCATCAACTCCTCCGACGGCTGTAAAATATGAAAAAAATAGTTAATTAAATGGTTAAAAGAAATATTTTTTTTACATTTTCGTATTAATTAAAATCTTTTTTTGTGTAACTTTTCAAAAACGACGTTTGTTAGGTACGCTTATGTATTCAATCAAAATCAAATCTAAAATCGAAATGTGTATGAAAACGTACTCCATTGATTTTATGAAATAAATTTTTTTTTATTTATATCTAGTTTCAATTTATTTAATCAGCTTTCAATCTGAATATTATTATGTATTGGAAATTTTACATTTTTTTGAATTTTTTTATTATTTTAAGATATACTAATTTTATAAAATTCAAATGAAACATAAGAATACGTTTTAAATAAATAAAAATGTCCAAATGGTGTAGGAGCTAAATAATTTCTCACTCTGAAATTAGAAATCAAATGTAACAAGGTGTGTTGAATAATTTTGTTTTTCATTTCATTCTTTGTACCTCGAGATTGTCATTATATTATATAAGACTTTGGATTAGGATGCAAATTTAAGTGCAGAGCAGATGTCAAAAATTTTGAAAATGTCTTTGTTTGCTAAAAATTCAAATATTGTAATAAAAATGTAAATAAAATTAAAAGAAAGGTAAACTGTCAAAATTCGGAAGCGCTATTCTATTTGGTGATTTGACAGCTTTTTATTTTAAAACTGTATATAAAACAATAAATGTTGAAAGTGATTCTCATTCAAGGTGTTTTTTAAATCTTCTCTTTCATTAAATGACATTTTCATGACAAATTTTCTTATGAAGTAATTATGAGTATTTTCTCTAGTTTTTAGAAAAATAATTAATTAAAAGAGAAAGATAATGTCTGCAATTCGATTTAGCAATTACTTACCGCCGTCAGCAAGAGCTGTAATAAAAAATGGAAAACGTTGGAAAAATATTTGATCATTTAGAAGTACCATAATTTAATTTTCTTTTAAAATGTGGCAATTTTCTACTTTTCTGTAATTTCTTTTATTCTATTAACATTCTTAAGATTTCAATTTTGTGAAAAAATTATAAAAATTCATAAAATATGACACACTAAAATATAACATGATTTTGGCAAGTTCAAGTAAGTATTCATTATCAGTTCATTATAAGTTAATTGTAAGTTTAATTATAATATTATTACATTATGTGCGATATAAAATTAGCAATATAATAAAAATTTTACAGTATTACTCTTCTGTTGAGCAGAGTCAATGTTAATTGATAATTATGCTGAAGGCAAATTTAAGTCTTCAGATAAATTTATATTAATTTACTTATTTTAATTACTTCTGATCAAATCAAATGCTCTAACTTAAATTCCTAACTCATTCCTTCACTGTTTAAGATGGAAAAAAATATGTATCTTGGTATTTTACTTTAATCAAAAGATTCTATTTAGAAACCATATCAAACTATAGTAAAAGCTACGTTTGCAAATATTTTTTTTATCGTGAAACTAATTTTTATTGTAAATTCTTACGAAACCAAAAAACTGATATATCATGATTTTTATAGTAATAGTTACTTTTAAATCCCTCAATCAATGTGATTAAATAAATACTACTGTAAAGACTATGGTATAAAGTTTTATGTTTGAAATAAAGCTTACGCTGAGAAAAAAATTTATGGTTAAAACTTTCAGTCAATTACAGGTAAAATTTTAATTTTTCTAACGCTATGAAAATACCAAAAATCTTCATAATTTTCAGATGTGCTTTAGAATTGATTTTGGTGGTGCTTTTTTATAATATGTGATTAAATTTGGTAAGTGTGGTAAAGCTCGGCAATTTTTTATGATAGCTTAGAGCATGTCATGAAAGCCATTTATTCGGTTAAATTTACTTTTCAGGTTTGTATTTTTTAATAAATGTGCGTTTATAAGCATTATAAGTATGAAAACCTGAATTTCCTGTAAATTGTTACTAAGTGAACGAAAAAAATACAAAATGGATTATTTAATGACCTTATATTTTTGCTCTATTACCCTAAACAAAGTTTTTTTAGCAGAAATGTCGTTACCATACAGTACGGATTTTTTACCGGACTTTTTCTTAGTGTACGGATGCTGCCTTGAAGGTGTTTTTTACTTTTTACAGTAATTTGATATCAAAATCTTTACATTCAGTCTAAGAGAATTCGTTTTAAAATTTTTAAAATTGTGAACATATAAAATTTTAAAATTTTGCAATTTTTTTTTTATCTCAAATAATTACGTTGAATTCTTATTCAACACAACAAACTATCCCAAGCAAAACATTAGCAAAAGAGGTTGTTGAAATTGGGTTGTTGAACTAGGTTTTTAAGAAGACCTGTAATTTCTTTTTTTAAATAAAGTTATTCATTTCCCATTGTTTTCCTTACTTTTTAAATTTTATTTAAATTTTAAAATACCAAATTTTAGTATTTTCATACTTACCGCCGAGTGTATCTGCAACTGAAAGTGAGAAAGGAAATTATAATTCTAATTTCAAAAAACCAACTTAATATGGAGAAAAAAATTTATTATTTTTAATTTCCTGCCAAAACATCATTGTTAAACTTCGCAAAAAACTTTTTTTTTATTCCAAAGACCACCCGGATATTGACTTTCGTCATTCGGGTATAAGAAGGATAGATTTGTTGAGCACTCTCTCTCTCACATGGGCACCACATTCGGTGGGCCCATGTTGCTCCCACATTAAGAAGAACAAATAGTTATGTGAATAGGAGAAAGGAACATCAATGCGTTATCAAGGATTCGAGTGCTAGATCTCGAGGTCAGTTCCCTGACCACCATACAGTCGACCGGCATCTTCGCAAAACTTTAAATGCATGAGTATGTATCCCTTTTACTTGATTTATAAACAAAAAATTCTGCTTTTGATACTGCAAGCTTTTATTAAAAAGTAAATCTGCTTAAATGTAAAAATAAGAAATTTTTCATGAAATAGAATTGTTTAAAGTATTCAAAATTAAATTGATTAAGTATATGGGAATTACTTTTTTAAAATGATTTAAGAAATCGTTTGCAGTTCAATTTATTTATTTGCTTATTTATTTAAAAAAAATAAATTTGAGTTAAACTTAAATACTGTTAAAAATATGTATTTTTCTAGAAATACATCTTGGAAATATAAATGATTTAGTAATCAAATATATACTGAAAGTAACGTGTTTTTAATATCAAAATTCTATAATTCAAATTTAAACCAACTTAAAGTACAAGAATTAAAAAAAAACTTTCACATAACAGACTAATAATTTTACTTACCACTTGTTACTGTCGCTGTAAAAATTATATTTTATGTAACTTTATATCATTTAGATGACAGTTTTTTGCAGTTAAAATGACAAAAATTGTTCTTCCCAAGATATACCATGTATGGAATTAGAAGCATATTTTTTTCCAATTGTAATTTTAGATTTCTAAAAGAAGGCAAAATTCTCAAAACGTAGGGACTTAACTTTCATATATCATAATATTCCCTGTTATAATATATCCTTATATATTAAATAATATCACTGCACTTATTAATATCAATTTAATATAGTTTGCGTGTTTTATTTAAACTTGCTATCTTACGAATTTATATTTGTTTGTATTCAAATATATTATAATATTATTGTGTCAAATTCATCAAAAAAGATAGTTTTCTAAACATAATAATAGGAAATTACGACGACATCAATTAAAATCAAAACATTTGCCATACCTTTCATATAAATTAAAAAATTTAGTTAAAAAACTCCCAGAAATGTCATTACTACTAATTTTCAAAATATATAGAGAAACTCTAAAAAGGTAAATACTTATACATCTATTTGGAGTTTAACGGAATATTGCCCTTAAAGAAGATCTATCGACGTAACACTTAAAGCTAATTAAAAATTTATTTTGCATTAAGTATCTGATCAAAACTGCCACAGTATGGTAAACTTTACAGTGTTTTGGGCTGTAGGGGAACGCCAAACAGAAGGGTAATTTTTAAAAAAAGAGCTATGTTAATGAATTTGGTAAAACTAACAAACATGATTTTATAATATGTAACAAAATTTGGAAAATGTGGTGAAATTCGGCTGTGTTATTATGACATCTTAGAGCATGGCGAAAAAACTATTTATTCGATTATATTCGCTTTTGAGCATTTTTTTACTAAATATGTGGTTTTAATAACTATAATTAATTAAATGTCTTTTAAAGGTTTGAAAACGCAAATTTTGTTATTTTTAATTTCGGATAAAGAGTTACTATACAAATGGAAACATTGCCAAATATTTTAATACCATATTTTTTTTTTATATTTATAATTAAGGTATATTTTACTAAAAATATCTTTAACCAACAGTATGGTAAATTTACCAGATATTTTTTGGCTATATGACTGATGTTTAATTTTGTCATGGTTTCTACGTTTTATTTAGAGAAAAGTTTGATACTAAGCGTTTTATTCATGAGAAATTTTTAAACTTCTAGGTTCAAGCTTCTGAAAATAGTATATCCCAAGATGGAGTATGATAATTACTATATTCTCTTTTTTAATTTGTTGCATTTATAATACAAACCTGACAAAACTAACGACAATTTATGGATTATGCAAATGTTTAAGATTTTGTGAAGTACTGACATTTTAATAATTGCTATTTTGCCACGGTTATCATTCTAGAAATAAAGTAATTTTTCTGATATTAAAACTAAACAAAACAAACAAAATTGAACAAAAAGTTAAACATTCAATTTCAGTATTTAAATATGAAATATACTTTTTTTTATTTTTCTTCCAACTGAAATGGTATTCCTACTTAAAAAGAGTTTATTTTTAGTTATATTTTCTAATTGTATATTAAACAAAATCAAAATCTAGAAAATTTGAGAGTTAATTAGGAAATTGTAGAAAATAATCGAAAATACTTACTACCAGCTACGTCGGCAACTGTAAAAAAGCAAAGAGAATTATTTGTTCAAAATTACGATACACTATACAAAGGGCCTAAATAAGCAGTTAAATTAAAAAATCTCTAATACATAAAATCACATACGTCCACCAAGGATATCTAAAGAAGTAAAAGTATAGACAACATTTTATTTACAAATATATCTGTATATATATATTTAGATCAGTACAACAATATCAGGAACTATAAATAGAAAATTCTTTTACAATAAACATCTGAGATATACTCACCACCTGATATAAAAATATAGCAAAAATGTAATTATAAGTTCAAAGTAGCAAGCAAACATTTATGTTTCGTATAAAGTATAATGCATTAATATATATATATATATATATATATATATATATAAAGAGAGAGAGAGGGAAAGGAGAGATATATTCAGTAATATAATGATGTGAATAATATGAAATATAATTACCAGTTTGGACTGCAAAAAAACAGCAACGTATTTTATTATGTAATTTGATCTAATTTGCAATTTAAGCATGAAGTGATATGTTTTAAAACGTATTAGATAAAATTACAATTAAATATGAATGAAAAATTTTACATTAAATCTTCCAATTTATTTACCTCCTTCAGCAATCTCTGAAAAAATATGTGCAAAGATTTTTGATTTAAATTTATTGAATCAATACAATTATTTTTATAAAAAATTTCATGTGTGCATAAAAAAGTATTGGGAAATAGTTAATTTATCAATTAAAAATTTTAGATACTGTACAGGATTTTCAAATAAAAGTATAAACCATTAGATGGTTAACCATATGATAATTGAACATGATTAAACCACTTAGATGATTAGTTTAATACCTAACATAATTCAATAAATAATATTATATCCAAATTTCTGCAATAAGTTGAAATGGAAAGATAAATTATGTATAAAAATCTGGTGTTTAACCAAGCTTTAGTTCGCTATATTAATGTATTACTTTAACCATAGTGATTAATGAAAAAGGTAATTTAGAAACTTACCGTCAGCATCTTTTCCAACTGGGAAGAAATGTTAAAAGAAAAGATAAATTATTTTTAAAAAATCATATCATTACTAGCAACTAAAACAAATTAACAGCATTCTCGATTTATTGAGCGGATTTTCAACTTATTATGAGCCAGTTGAAAAGGTACGTTAAGGCCTCATTACCCTCCTGACACACTATCTAGTATCATTATTTGTAAGAGGAAATGTTTTTTAAAATAGAAAAATAAATAAATTGATTTAAAGAATTAAAAACTAAACAATCCTTGCTAATTATATTGGGTTACTTTCCTTTATTTAGTTTTGAAACTGATTTTATAGACTTTTATTTTTCCCCCAGAATATTTTTGAATTATCAGAATTTGAAAAAGTCTTCCGATTCTTCTAGACATGACTTTATTTACTACAAGAAAAGTAGTTAAGAAAGCTAAATGCAAAATTTATAGCTCACAATATTTTGAATTCAGGTCTCATAGATAATATATTTTTCTAAGAGAGCTTTTTTCATCTAAGCTGTTTTTTTTAAATATGCAGCTTTGAAAAGAAATATTGCAACAAAAGTTGGTTTTTGAGATGTAGATAAAATCTGTCATCTTTTCAATTTGAACTTAACAATTCCAGTTTAATATTCATATTTTTTTTCTTCATATAGTTAGTTGCAATAGTAGCTTATTGTTTACCTTTAATTGACAATTCTTTGTAATCTATAATTATGTTTTCCAATCCCTTATTAATGGTATTATTGTCAAGATACTTTACAAAATGACAGTTGTTTGTTGTATAAAAACAGTTGTTTTTAGCATTTCAATAAAATGATTTGGCAATTTTTGGCAATTTTAAAAATTTTAAATTTCTATTGTGTTATTTTTTTTATTTTAGTAGATAAATTATTATAAGAAAAATAGAAATTATGTTAAATATTCTTTCATCGTTAGCTTCGAACCGGAAATCTCGTATGTTGCAGATATTTTTGATACTACTGGAATTTACATTTCTTAATCATTCTGTAGTTTACATATCGTAAGAATTATTTGGGAATAACTAAGAAGTAATTCTATCAGGTTTAAAATAAACTATCTCACTATTTTTATATATGGCTATATTTTTGAAATAATTATTTTAATTAAGAAGTCAAAATCTGTAGAGAAAAATTTCGATCCATATCGAAATTGAAAGCATGCGATTATTTTATTCAAAACAATAAACAAATAAAAATATTTAATCAAGCTTTAATTTTAAAAAGAATAATGGAAGCATTTTAATATATTTATAATATATTTGAATTTTAATGCAGTTCAATTTTCTAAAAACGATGGACGTTTTTAACAAAAAAGTGCACTTTCATATGAAACTTATTTATAAACGGAATACACATGCTAAATTTTCTAACGTACTTTGGTAATTTTTGCCAATTTAGCTAGTTATTCCACCTCATAGATCAAAAGATTGTAGCTTTTATTTCACTTTTTAAAAAAACTTAACACAAAATTACTTGAAAAGAGAGAATTGAAAAACATTTTTTTAAATTTATAGGAAAAAATAGCTAAAAAAATAAATATAATGCATAAATAATTACTTCCACAAGCAAGATCTGAAAATAATCATTTTCTATTTTACATTTGCTAAATTTGTATGCGCAAGAAATAACAGAGTATTGTAAATTATTATATTATTAAACTAATTAAATGTATCTGTATTCAATCTACCATTTTTAAATAATCAAATAATAACTAATGCACATCTACTTAACATGACTGTAATATAGAAATTCTGAAATATGTGCTTTTGCAACCAGTTATTGCATTTTCTTAAATTTTTATTATTGCAAATATGATATTATGCATCGCAGAATTAAAATATTTAAAGATTTTAAAATCCAAAGCCTCTTTAATAATTTCTAGGCTTCAGTAAGCGGATAAGAGCGGATTCCTGCAACAAATTTGAAAAAAAAGAAGAAACAAAAATGTAAAATTCTGCCGTTTGGCCGTGAGATTTGTTTAGGAGAAAATAATAATAACAAAAATATGCATATTCGCCTTGTTTATGACGAAATAGTTTTCGTATAATCATGCAACGTAAATATAGAGAGGCATACTAAGTGTAAATTCTCAATAACGAGTAAATGATCTGATTTCCTGTAATAAATAATGAAATATTTATTCAATATTTGTGTTCATTCAAAGCATATAATATTTATAAATTTATAAATTTCATTAGTATAACTTAACATTTAAGAGATAAAAAAATCTTCTTAGTGTAATTTTATAACATATTGCTCAGTTTTAATACCAGTAATTAATATTCAATTTCGTTTTTTTTTCTTTCGTGTATTTTTATGTCAAATATAATTTCAGCTACTGCAATAATTACTACAAGCTATTGTACATTATGTGGAGTTCTGGATTACGCATTAGTTTCTAATGATAATTCATTGACAGTAATGGTGCACCACAATTAAGATGGAAGAGCAGAAATCATTGCATTCGTACCCTATTCATAACGTCCAAACCATTCTGAGAGATTTCTGGTTATGTTTAAACAGAAGACGTTGTTATTTCAAAAGATAAGCAAGTGCGATTGGAGAAAGTGCTGTCCAATCAGAATACATATTCCTCGCCTAACACTTTGATTGGGTGATATTTAAATTCAAAATTGTACTGTTATGGTCTGTAATAATCTTTTTTCAACTTTATTTTTTCACCGGCAGTAATGGTCAATAAACTATAATTAAAAAATTTTACTTAATTTATCCAGCGGAATAAAGGTTCTCTAATCTTATAAAGAATATAAAGAAAGCAAAGAATAAAAAATATAAAAAAAGCAATATAAAGAAAGCAGATCGATCAAACTGTTCTTTCTCCGCCTTCCAAACCGCTTATAACATCTATTCGTAACTTAAATTCTAAAAAGAATGCATCAAAATGTTCTTACCATCTATTCCGTTTCCAACTAGAATAAGTAAAATTTAACAATAAATATTGGTGAATGGTGGTTTACAAATGGTATTTTTATACTTTCACTTAGATCAGCATTGTTTACTCAAGAAAATTTATATTAAGTACTGGAACTACATTATTAATCAAGCAGACAGATTCATAATAAATATCGGGTACATTGTTAGTTTCTTTAACTGATTATTGAAAAACATTTGCAGAGTAATGGCAAAATGAAATCGATTTAAAGAATGTTTTAAAGTATTAAATGAGGATTTGAGGTTGATGAGGAATGAGGAATTGAATCAGGAGAATTGAGGTAAATAGGAATGTCGTAATTTTCCAATTATACTTCACTGTAATGGCCAGTTCAAAGGCATAGAAACAGTTCATAATAGGGAAGTGCCTCTTACGATATCTGACGACCTTCCTGACCATGCTTCTTATGCCATTTTAAATCTGATACTCAAGGCTTACTCACTTTATTTGTCGTAGCATTTTCGTGATGCTCTGTTCTACATAACAATTTTAAACTGGCACGCGTCGACGGAAAAAAAATAGACTAAAAATTTAACTTTAAAAAATAAAACTCTTAACATGGAGAGGAAAAAACATTGCAAACTTAAAATCAGTGACACGAAAGTATCAAGCATCTGATGAAATATTTCATGCAAAAAAAAAATCCCAGCACAATTTATAAAATGCTAATTAAATTAAAAAGATCATTCATATTCTTTTCCTTTCTTTTTTCGTGAACGGGGGAGAATTATTTTTTCTTCTGCCTCATTCTATTGCGGGAGTCTGAAATGAAATATTTAATATAAGGAGAATACTTACGCCCATGATCCACATCTGATATTTGCAAGAAAATATACAAGAATATTAATAATACACCATATACGTTACGATAGTTTATTTAAAAATTGAAAACAACATTTATGACAGCAATTTATAATGAAGTGCGTTTTAATGCTTAATTTATCTTAGAAAAAAGAATTAGAGCTTATTGGCAGAATTTGAAATAAAAAAAGTAAGTAATTATAGTTAACTTTTTATGAAAAATGTTAATATTTCACAAATTTTGTACAAAAATTTGAATGAGTGAAATAATTAAATTAAACAATTCATTATATTTTTTGACCAAATCTTAACAAAATATAAAAATTTGCATTTAAAGAAAAAACAATTTTAAACATAAGCGACATTTCGCAAATTTTCTCCCTGGTTTAATGTTTAATAATATTAATTAAGAATCAATTGACTTTTATAAAAGAAAAAGTACTTGTCTAGTCTACTAAAATTTTTATTGGTAAATGTTATTTTCAATTAAATAATTCCATTTTAATTTATTTAATACATTTAAATACATTCAATACACAAATACTATGTTATGGATAAAATGATATTAATTCATCAATGGATATGTAACTCTTCTTTCATATTTTGAAACATTGCCTTATGCAAATGAAAGTTAAATTTTGTTGAAGCATTAAATACTAAAATATTACTTACTGTCAATTAAGCCTTGAGCTGAAATATCATTGAAATATGCATTTTTAAAATGAAAGGGAACATAAAATATGTTTTTCAAATGAAAAATACATTTCATTGACCAAAATTACGTTTGTATGAAGAAAGGGAACAAGAAAGTTGAGTACATTTTCAAACATAGTTTTGCCAAGAAACACTTCATTGGATGATTTTTCTTTTGTTTAGATTTCTTAAGTACACTGTAAATTACTGTATCGATCAAATTTAGAAGTAAAGTACCGGCACTTTGGGCTCATTATCCGTAAAGTCTACTTTTACCGTTGCATATTATACAGTAATAAGTATTTAAATAGAGTAATTTAACGATTTTACGGTAATGACTAATGAAAAAATTTCTGTTTATCACATTTCTTGTTCCGAAAGATGTTCCGGTTAAAATGAATTAAACGATTAAAAGGTATCGACACCTTAAGTTCCGATAATTTTATCGTAATTTTATCTGGAGTTCTTTACAGTATCGTACAAGTAAAAAAATTTACTAATAATCAAAATATATTATTCAAATCCTATTTTCATTTTGGATGATAATTTACATTGGTATTAAAGTTATCTGAAAATTTTCTTAAATTCTTTATACATCAAAATTCCTGACCTATAGCTTTTATTAAAGTTAAAGTAACACTATTTAAATCTTACACTTCTTTAACATGCTTTTTTTGGACAAAGAAAATTTTATGAAATTCAAATTTTAGCGTCTTAAAAGGCTTTAAAAAAAGCGTACTTTGAGACGCAGTTTAATTTCTCGTTAAATGCAAAATACATTTTCAAATACTACTTTATACAGAAACAGAATAATAAATGATTTATGTTTCAACAGAAAATATATTTTAAGCGTTACTCAGTTTATGCAATTTCTCTTTTTATAATTTTTCTGAACAATGAGAGTATGTAAAGTGAAACTTGAGTGTTGCTTTCGTAGAAATATATTTAACATAGCATATATTCAAATATAAAATTTAAAAACCTTACCAGCATGTCCAACATCTAAAATATGTTATTATAATCAATAATTAATCTCATGTACATCACAAACTCCAGTCTAATTGTCAAATTTTTTTTGCAAGATATACCACCGTATAGATATATTTTGCAAGATATTTTTGTTAAAACATATATTAAGGGGGAATATATATATATATATATATAATATTATTGCAATCATGGTTGCGCGACATTGCGTGTTAACAGGTTATTATTAATCGTCACGAAAATGAATTTCCGGTACTTAAAATTACTTTAATGACAATNTTGATGCATTCAAAACGCATGTTTTGGAGTTACCTCAATCGGACTGGAAAAAGTGCTTTGAAAATTGGTTCAAACGCATGCAAAAGTGTATTGATCATCATAGAGAATATTTTGAAAAACAATAAAACCAATTTCGATCCTACATATTTTTTTTTTCATTATTAGGCCAGAAATATAAATAGCAGCCCTCATATATATATATATATATATGTATATGCATATTTGCTCCTGTTAATTTTTTTGTTTAATTTTTTTTTTACCATATTAACTTTTTTTTTAAGTTGATTGTTTAAAGCTCCATTGTATTCACATTTAAAATTAGGAATTTCGAATAAAAAATATCCGAATTCATACAAAAGTCTAAAATCTCGACATTTTATCATTAACTATAATTAAAAAATCAAATTCAGATGGAATTTTTTTATTGCAACTTTCAATCTCCGTACTTTCTACAATTTCTAATTTTATTTTCTTCTTGTTTTCTTAACTACAAACTTAACTATAAAATAATTTGACATCAATTTAAAATTATTCAAGAAAAAGAGCAAATAATTTTTTTTGTAATATTATACTTACGATCAACAGCATCACCTGTTAATTAAAATAATCACATACAAAAATCAATATCAAAATTTTAACTCTATTATTTAATAGTTAGCAAAATAATTTAAAATCTAATTCTTAGTTAACAAAAATGGGTGCCCTATAAAGACTCATATTTTGTTATTGTATTCAAAGGAAAAAATTCTGACACCAATTTAAATGTTTTTCAGCATTATTGTTGGAAAAAAGCAAATGCATCATTAAAAATTTCTCTCTTTCTTTTTCTTTTATTTTTTACTACTTTGTAATACTTTTCACACTTGCAGAAAAATACATACACAAAATTATTTTTTTAAGCAAACAACGTGACTTTGCAGCAACTTTTAATAAAATAATATACAATTAAATTCATATCATTTTAAATTTAATTTCTTTTTCGTTTCAGTAAGACATAATTTATATTGTTTTGGAAATTTCATCTTGCTTTCCATAAATAGAGAGTAACCCTTTAGATGTTCTTCCGAGAGTGAGAATTGCTTTTTTTAAAAGCATATCATGGTTACTCTATTAGCGACTGACAAACGCATGGTTTAAATGAAATATTAAATGGCATTAAAATAAACATTAAGTAAGCTGTTTTTTTTTTCATTTTAAAAGAAAAACTCCGAATTTTGAAATAAATAAAAAGTTGGTACCTCGAATAACAGTTAGTTACAATAAGATTTACAAGCCAGAAGCTTAGGTGAGCTAGTAAAATTATTCCAATAGATGGGTAATATCTTTACTACCTCGCATACACAAAAGGGAAGAAAATGTCGTTCTAGTACTTCATTACTTCTGAAAATATTTATTTCCGAAAGGGTTTAATTACAACTGACAAAATCCTAAAAAAAAAAAAATTAGTCTGAATTCCTATTCGAAATTTGTGGAAATTTGTAGAAGTAAAGATAGTAACGAATTTATTCACCCTGTGGGGGCGGAATTATCGAGAATGCCAACCTTCATCAATCAAGAAGCACCTTTTGATAGGTGAAGGTTGGCATTGTCGATAACTCCGCCCCCCACATTGATGGGGGAGTATTATGGTGTAACTACCACTACGATTATTAAACATCAATTCACTGGTATATAAGACAAGCTAACTTGATTCAATCACGAGATACCTTTTGATACATGAAGGTTGGCATTGTCGATAACTCCGCCCCCACATTGGTGACCCGGACGTGATTGGATCACTCAGTAACGCCCACTTCTCAAAAATCTTGACAGTACTTCGTTTAATGATCCACATTGAACAGTTGATTTGCTACTTGTGACTGCGACATAATCGACCTCCTCTCGCTGCTGCTACCCAGTCTCGTCTCGATTAAACACAACGTCTGCCTGCATACGCTCGACTGCTAATGGTAACACAGGAGCGACTACGACAGTGAAGTTAATACACCTCTCACATCCAGCACTCAAAAATAGGGTGACCTTAAAAACCAGTTCTCCCAGTCTTTCACAAGTACAGCAACTAGTGAGATCCGTTCATCGAATTCTGTCCCCGATAAAATTCTGGTGGGGGAGCATTGCGGCGTAACTACTACTACGATTATTAAACATCAATTCACTGGTATATAAGACATGCTAACTTGATTCAATCACGAGGTACCTTTTGATAGATGAAGGTTGGCTGTCGATAACTCCGCCTCCACAACCTTTAACGCAAATTTTGTAAAAAAAAAAATTATATTTAAATTATGCAACAACAACAAAAAAGCCTTGCATCATGGAATAAGTAAAACGAAAATGCAGTCAGACAATCAGAATTATAAAATGGGATCCAATATTATCACTTGCGTAATTTTGTTATTTTTTTTCATTAAAAAATTTTAGTAAAATAAGAAGATAAATTTAAAGTAAAATAAAAAGATAGAATTAACATAAAAATACAATTTATTATTTTTTTACCTGCGACTCCCAAGAGANGATAACTCCGCCCCCACAACCTTTAACGCAAATTTTGCAAAAAAGAATGATATTTAAATTATGCAACAACAACAAAAAAGCTTTGCATCATGGAATAAGTAAAACAAAAATGCAGTCAGACAGTCAGAATTATAACATAGGATCCATTATTATCACTTGCGTAATTTTGTTATTTTTTTTCATTAAAAAATTTTAGTAAAATAAGAAGATAAATTTAAAGTAAAATAAAGAGATAGATTTAACATAAAAATAATTTTTTTTTTTACCTGCGACTCCCAAGAGATCTAGAAAAATACACGTATTTACTAGAAAACTGAATATGTTTTTACGAATAAAAGTTATTGCTGTGTTATTTATATTTTTAAATATGAAATATTAGCACATTTTATTTGCAATATTTTTTTGCTTTGCATTTGTATTTCTCAGATAATTTTAATACTCATTTTCTTCGTTTATAACAGAGGAAAAATAGTTTTGTCACTATGCAATACTGTATATATTTTTTTTAATTTTGAATAATAATATAGTTGAATAATATGTGGAATAGCACTACAAAATTAGTTTATTGTTCAAAATTTCAAAACGAATTTCAATAATTATTTATAATACTATTTTTTGCGTAACAAAATCTGTTGCTAACGTAGAAAGCAGAAAACTGTTGAAAATATTTTTTTCTTCAAAATTTTCCTTTTAAGGTAATTATTGAAATATTATCTGCCTAAAGTAGCTCTACATTTTACCATGTACACATAAAAATATGAAATCTCCACAAAAATAAAAATTTATGAACTGACATTCTTAAGGGGCAAAAAGTTAAATCATAAATGATATTTACATATTTGAGTAATATATAGGCACTTTTTGCTGTAAGATTTACACTGTATTATTTAATTTAGTTTCTTTTAAGTAAAAGTTTTTCTTCTTTGAAAAAAAAATAATTTTGTGAAGGAAAAAATTAAAATACTTTTATATTTTGTGGTTTACTCGCTAATGTCAAATTATGGCGTGGCATTTTTCGAATATGTTGTAAATAATAAAATAAATTTTTGCACAAAATTGGCTGCATTGTGTTGCATTATAAATTCACTACGTAGATCTGTGTACTGACAAGCCATCTATCAAACTTTACTAAATTGTTTTCAAAAAAAATATGTGCAAATAAAAGTTTTGGATCAGTGCTTGCCTAGACAATAGAATTAGGCATTCTTAATCGTCCCTCAAATAAATAACGCGTAACAAAGCCAAGCGTGTTATTTTTAGAGATAGTAAAACTTTTATGCTTTAGGTAAGAAATAGAAAGCAACAAACTGAATGCATAGCGAGAGACACAACTTTGTAATTGCTATTTTTTTTATTTGTTTAACAAAAATTTTTGGTAGAGAAGTTGCTTATAGATTTGGAAATTACAATAATCAATTTTAAAAAAAACTCATTGTTCTTCTATTCATGACTCTTTTTTCCAGGCAAAAAGACATTTCTCAAATTTTAAAACAAGAAATAGTTACGCCAGTAATTACATCTTCTTACGCGTATGCGATTTTTCATCATTTCACTACTTAACAAATATCAAGTTTATCAGCACTAGTCCCATGTAGTGAGGGTAGTGTATACAGAAACAACCTTTAAAAATATTATGGAAAAACTAAACAGCAATTATTTTAAATATGTTTGATTGTTTTTTACAAATTTGCAAAAAGTACCCTTCCAAGATCACGTGTCGGCTGGACAGTTATATGAAATTATGTAGTGAAACATTTTTCTTTTTATGCATTTAGCAGTGTATTCATAACTTTTTAATCTTTAAGAGAGTAAGGAGCTTTTTTGCCTTTGATTCATTTACTACGCCTTGTGAGTTAATCTGATGATATAAAGTGCCACAACGGAAGGAATCATATAATTTTATAACTTACTCAGGTAAGTATTGTCACAATAGTACTGTGATTATTTTTGAATAAATGAGAAAGTTCTGCTATATATTTTAGTGCATTTCTATTTCAATTAAGTATTTATTTTAATGGTGCCAGACAAATAAAGTGTTTTCACACAAAATATAATTCAAAACTTTCGATAATAGCTCAATGGCTTTAAATACCAAGTTTATCAAATTCAAATCTTGTAATTTAAAGTAAAATTATATGGAAGCATACATACACTGTTAGAATTTTCATTCTAAAACTAGGATAAAATAATCAGCAACAGTCTGCCCATCCGATTACCAATAAAATTTAAACAACAGTTATTAAACATTTTTTCTCGCAGTTAACAGTTTGATTACCCTTTTATTTATGGTTAATTGACTATTTTGCACGAACGAGGTAAAATAACAATTTAATAAACTGCCATTTAACCATTTTTTCCGAAAAATTTCTAACTGTGTCTATGGCGCTTATCATGCCAGTTATCATAATAAGTTTTATATTAAAATAAGACAGAAGCACTAAAGAAAAAGATAACTCATAGATTGAAGTTGGAAATAAAGTTAATGCCACTGCACCGAATTTATTTATAAATATTTCTTCAGATTATCTAACTAGTTGCCTACATTTAAAATGTAATTTTTTGCACCTTTTCGATTAATGTATTTACCATTTTTAATTACTGATAATAAATTTTACAAAAAATTTTAAACCTAATATTAAGCAAAGTATGTTTAGATATAATACACAAAACTGCTTATGCATTAAATACAAAATTTTATCTTTTCTCATAATTAACTTAAATTCCGCAAAAAAAAAAACAAGGTAAATAGTACACAAAATATTTAAATATCACAATTGGGTATGTGCAACTAATCGCATATGGCTGCGTCTAATCATCACATGGTTGTGTATGGCGTATACTGTTACAATTTAAAGGCTTAGGTGTATTAAAAAACTGAATAAACTTTAGCTTCTGATTTATTTGTATAGCTGTAGGCGATGCTACGTCTACGTGTCGAACCTGATTGGTTGACCAACGCGTGACGTTGTTTGCAGGTATCCAATTACAAAATGCAAATAATAGTTTACTTTGCGTCATAGATAATTAGATATAGTTGTAATTTGAATGCTTAAAATTTTAAAATGAACTTACTTCCATGTAAGGTGACATCTGAAGCCAACAAAGAAATATTCAGATTAGCATTCATTCAAAAGAAAATTTTTATCTTCTTAGCTACATAATTAAGTTAATTATTAAATAAACACAAACAACATTATATTGAATTAAGGATTCCTAAAAAGATATAAATATTTATTTTCAAAATGGAATTATTAAAAAATTGTTTTTAAGATTATGCTAAGTCAGTCTTATATTTATAAGTACTTCCGTTTGTACCGAATAAATTCATGTACAGTAGAATACTTATATTATAATTTATAAAGAGTCTTTTAAGTGTTTCTCAGGGCAAATTTTTCAAAATCTAACGAATCTATTAATTTTTAAAATCTTGTGCATTCCAGATGTTTTTATTATTTCTTGCAATTGCTTATTTATCAGAAAGTCAATATCATGAAGTTCTTTTACATAATATCTTGCTTTTTCATATTGCTGGTTCCGTTAAAGCCCGTTAAAATGAAATTTAGGCAGGAGCGATGATATTTTTTGACAAAGAAAATGTCATGAATTTATAAATATTGGATATGTATATACTGTAAATTTTGGTAAATAGAGCGAAATTATAAGAAATATATTTCTAACATAATTGTTATTAAATTACGCTGTATATACCTGTACTCAATGAAATTCATTACAATGTTCAAATATACAGAACATTTTCATTAAGTATCTGAAATTTTATTGTCACTATTATGATCTCATTTGTTTAATCTGCTTTGAAACCTCTTCTTATGGCATTATTTATCGAAATAGGCAGTACTAAGAACTGATCGTAAATGAATAATTTTGTTCATAATTTATATTAATCGATCCAAATAGGATAAAATATTTAACAGTGATTGTACTTAATAAAAAATCATTGCACTTAATGATACTTATTGAAAGTTTGACAGCTTTTTTTACGTACATTTCAAACTTTATATAGATATATAAATAGCTTGATTATTTCTATCAACGTTTTTGTATTTTGAAAGTGATATTTGATTTTGTTAATTTTGTTTAAGAATATGCAATGATATGCGGTCTGTTTAAATGAACCATCCTCAAAACAACTTTATTTACAAAAGGTTTCAATGGTACTATAACTTTTACTTGTTACTATAACAAAAATATGCAACATAATAAACATCTTCTTACCGCTTATTACGCCTTCAGCTGGATAGTACATACAAGAATTTTGTCATTGAATAAAGGGTATAGATAAATAATTTCTGAATAAAAACATTTTCAGAATAAAAAGATAATACATGCAGACGATACAACATCATATTTTCACACCAGTTAAATGTGATGATTGTAAACATTATATAAACTAAGTGATACTTAAACTCACTCATTTACTTTTTTTAAAATTTTTTTATTAAAAGAAATATAGTATGTTTAGAAAACAGGAGTGAATCTAGAATGAAATGTGAAATTTATTGTTATACATAGCTAGCGATGATTGTTAACTTATGGAAAGTATGAAAGTATGAAAGTAACTTATGGGACCATATACATCTCAACGTTATAATAATGCTTGAGGAAAAGCGTTAATAATATTGCCAATTAAGGACTCATAAACTCAAAAGTTAACTTATTTAAACATTAGCCTAACGTGACATAAAAACTAAAAATGATGCATTCATCTAAAAAAATATTAATAATTCATATTAATATTCCAATTCATATTTCAAATACTAAATATCGGTAAACAAATTTCTGCTGAGGGTGATTAAATATATGTTTTTAATTATTTTGGACATATATCAATAAACTTCCACTTACCATTATTAGTAATTCCTATAAATAGGAAAAACTTCTTCTAGATTAATAATTTTAACAATAAATAAAAGAGCATAGAAAGTTTTTATAAAAAGTGTTATAGAAAGCATCTCGGGGAATTTTTTTTTTACTACTGCAAAATATTTCTTATTATTAGACGCTACAAATAGTAGTCAATAATGAAAATTTTAGAATTTTCACTGTGATAATGTTGGATTTATTTACCTGTATATTAGAGCATAGTGTAGCATTTAAGCCAGTAATTTGAATATCAAGGCTTGGAAAAAGACGAATAACCCTCTCAAACCATGATTACATCGTTTCATTTTTGATCTTTTTACTATCTATTTTGCTTCTATTTCCAAATTTAGTTAATTGCGAAAATTTTACCTTACAGTATATAAAACATCAATAACACAAATTATTTCACTTTTTAAGATCTTATTATAACTTTTTTTGTAAAGATTACTTTTAAAAACTTTACTAATTTACTGATTTACTAATTTAATACTTACTTTACTAATTTACTGATTTACTAATTTAATACTTACTTTACTAATTACTGATAATTTTACTAATTAACGAGGATAAAATATATCAATGATATAAATGATAATTAAATGAAAAAATATATTACCGATTTCATATTTCAAAGAGTTTGAAAGATTTCTTTAAATCATTTTAAAATATTTTAAAATTTAATAAATTTCTGAAATACTGCCACAATAAAACAATTTCAGAATTTATAATAATGAATTAAAGAGATAGTGCAATAAAAGCATGAGACCTCGGAAAATTTTGATCTAAGATGAACTATAATATCGTTCCTCAAAACTGTTGCATCCCTTATAAGGATTAAGTTAAACTATAATATCACGATAATAATTGCTTTTAAACTTGAATTACGATAATATGCAACATATTCAATGGAAAGTCAGTTAAATTTTGCCTTTATTAAAGTTGAAATAAAGTTTTCACGGTATTGTATCTCCCATAGCAACGACTCAAAATTAGTTAAGAAATTGATGAATAATATTTCATGTTTTAGAAATTTTTGTTTCATTTATTTGTATGGTCGATTAGTTATAGTTCGTCATTCTAAAATTCCTGATCCATCTTTAAATATGTAATCATTTTACTGAGATAGCTTTTTTTTTATTATGAACTAAAAAAAACTCAAAATTTACTATTACGAAACAGAGATATATTTATAACTTAATGAAGATTTTTCTTAACCTGGATTCAGATAAATATAATTGTGATTTCTAGTATGATACTACAAAGTTTATGAGTTTTCTGTACAGACAGACTATACGCAAACTGAATTATTTTCTAAATCTGGGTATTCATTCAATTCGTTGCTATTGACATGTAAACAAAACGCTGTTAGATAAAATTATATTAATTATGTATTTTATCAATAAAAACATCTTTGTTTTTGCGTAAAATATCGATTTTTAATTTAAAAAATGTCTTAAATAAAAATCTATCAGGAAAAATAGCACTGAACATCTTTGTCGGCAGTAAGAATCTGGAGTGTTAAGAGCAGAATAACTAATGAGTTATGAAAGATTCTTTTCAGTTAATAAAGCAAATTATTTCTTACCTGAAATGCCTCGTTCCACTGTAACAGAATATAATTTGCATTGTATTTAAAATAAAACAAAGATATTTTCACTTTATACTTTTTAATACTATAGTTAGAACTACTTAAAATTAAATTTTTCAAAATCATTAAATTTTTAAGACTTTCGTAATACTCAACTAAATTTTATGGAAACTCCTATGCAAAGTTAATTTCTAAGATCTAGATTTGTAAAAAGTAAATTTTCTTTTATTTAATGGATAATGCACATTTCACTTTTTAAGATAATTTCTATATGTTACCATCATCACATCTTCAGTCCATAGTAAGATATTATATCTTAGACTCATTATATTTTAGACAATCTCCAATGCTTCCTTTCAGGTGTGTAATGCAATGTTGTAGAGTTTGAATTATTCAATAAAACTTACAAAAATTAACATTGTATTATTTAAATAAACAGGATTGATTACTATCGCCAATATTGTCTATCTTCGATACAATATTGCGAAATTTAATAAAGTAAACGTATCTGCTTAACATTCGAGATACAATTTCAAAACTTTTAGAGCTTAAAACTAAGAATTTCCTTACTACAAGATGAGTATTGAAATTAATACTAATTCATTTAATTTTTTAAAATATTTTTCTTCAAAAAATATTTTTTTCTTACTTGTTCTTATAATAAAGTCATTAGAAATAAAGTATTTATAACTTACATCCTCGGCCAACTCCTAAAAATATATGGAACATTTATGTATAAACATAATTCTAACAAAATCATTTAAGGATTTATTAAACATACAAGAAAATTTTGTTCAAATAATCTATTCAATAAATCTTTCTGAAGGTAAACTTTTAAAATTTAATGGTTTTNATATATTTAAAGTTAAGTTATTAAGATTGGTTGGTCTGCTACGCAATGGCTATGTTTCTGAATTATGACTTTTTAATTGGCTTAGAGGTGCAGGTGCAGGAATATGCTTGTTTTTTTTAACTTAGTCTTGTTTATTTCTAAATAAATTATTTCTCAATAATTTTGTTGTTGTTGTTGTTAATTTACGTCGCACTAGAGCTGCACAATGGGCTATTGGCGACGGTCTGGGAAACATCCCGGAGGATGATCCGAAGACATGCCATCACAATTTTGATCCTCTGCGGAGGGGAATAATTTAATAATTTAGAACAATAATTTAGAGCATTTTACAGAAACATTTTTATATTGAAGCAACTTGCATATAAATTAGGATAAAAATTATTGTTAGAAGATTAAGTAACTGTTTTTAAACATTTTTCTAAAACAATATGCTTAATAACTATTTTTATAGCTTCTTTAGTCATAACTAAAAGAAGAATTTCCTAAATCGATAATTAAATTCTAATATGATAGTCATCAGAGCAATAATCCACTTTAAGGAATGAAGCATTAGCAAAGAATTTAAAAAAGTTTTAAAGGAAAAGTATATTTTAGAAGATATTTAACATTTAAACAAACTGTCAGGAATAATGTTGATAGAATAATTTAAATTTTTTGGTATCCCACTATGGTTCATTTAAATAAAATGCTGAGTAGCACCAAAATGAAAGAAATTAAATGCTTAAGGCAGTACATGTAATAACTTACCGACTAGAGCTCCATCTGTAAGAATTATAAATGTAGATTAGTAAATATTTACAGTAAGAATATAGAATATTTATTATGAAGAATACTTTATATTTATTTGCGCAAATGTAGAAAATGGGGAAAAAATATTTCTTACGATTTCTAATCTCTTGATGAACAATAATTTTAAAAAATTATAATGGAAACTTTAAAAAAAATATAATTATTTTTTATATTTATATTTTAGAATAAGTATTTAAAGTACACATTGATCATACATTTACATAAATATCAAGAGCTTGAAATTATAATATTTTAATTATTATTTAATTTTTTCAAAATATTTACTTCAAACTTATTTCTTTGCTCTAATAAAAGTTCCAATTTATATCATGAAGATGTGCATATTTAAGAAGTGTAATATATGTTTTTTTAATGGAAAAATGTCTTAAAAATATTTTTTCGTGATCACTTACCCTGGCAATTAGTTTCTGTAAGAACAAACATTTGAAATTGGTTAATAAACATTAATAGAGAAAAGAAGCTTCTGCCTCAAAATAAATGTTAAATTATGCACCAGAAACTTCAATTTTTTAAATTTTTGATGCTTTAAAACCTTAGCTTTGGCACTGGAACAGACTTAAATTATCTATGGATAAAGCTATCTATGGATAAACTGCAGAAAATTATCTATGGATAAATGTACCCCCGTAAATTAGAAAAAAAATTTATTAAATCCAATCCAATAATGCATTATTTTAAAATTAAAAGGAAAGTTTTTACTATTATTTATTATACGTTTTCTACTACTGTGCTTTTTCCAAATCAGAAATAGTCCTCTTTATGCGAGGGAAAAACTACTGGTGACATTATCGTACTGTACTGTAATGACATTTTTTGTTGAAAAAACCGTAACTCTCGTTAAAAAAACCAAAATATACGGTATTTAAACCTTTCATTTGGTAATAATCAATTCATTTGGTAACAGTTTACGTAAAATACTTGCTTTAAAAATTATAGTTCCTATTATGACAAATTTAGTAAAAAATACAATACTCAAACTTAAATTTAGCCGAATATATGCTTTTGATCAGTCTCATGATAAAATTATGAAATGGTGCCTCTTTTACAAAATTTCATTGCATATTATACCACTATGTTTAATCAATAATTTATCTAAAAGTATTACTGAAGTGCTTCAGTGAAAATTTCGGAGCTTCTTTTGGTGTAAAGAATATGTGGTGCATGGTGTCTTTTTGGTTTGGGCAGAAAACAGTAAATTTAACTGGTAGTTATATTTACTGTTTTCTGTTACATATTATATTATATTTACTGTTATATATTCTGATAGTTATGACCATACCCTTTTCCTCAGAGTCCACTATGTCACTTCTCCCAACCCCAAGAAAGATACGAACTGGTTTTAATACTATTTTTTTCTTATCTGCATGTTCAAGAAAAAGGTTTTTAAAACTACCCAACATGAATTAAATTCTTTTCAAAAGAATTAAAATCGTAATATTAGTTTATTTGTCAGTGATAAGAACAATACATATTGTAGATGTCCTGTAGTCACTTCAGATTAACTGGAATACATTTTTTGCATTTTTTCAAGTAATGATATTTTATTTCTTTTACTTTAAATTTTTTAACATACAAAATTATCATAATTAAAAAATAGTTTTAAGGTTTGTTGCAATGTTATCATGCTCAGATTATTTCAATTCTAATTTAAGCAGGGGTCGGTTACAAACAATCTGAAATTAAAGATGCCTCTGCGCTGAAGAGAAATAAAAAAATCACTATCGCAAAACTGATATACTTGTCTCACATTTTTACATTCAACCCACATAATATGAAGAATTAATAACAATTTAATTTAAAATGAGGTAACATCTAAAAATTATATATATATATATATATATATATATATATATACATTTT